GTTTTCTGGCGCCTGTCAACGCATGGCTGAGCGCTTGTTGATTCGAGGACCCGGGCGTGGCGTTGCCAGGGTTCAAGTCGGATTAGTCAATCGCAGCCGTTTTCACGTTTGTCTAACTGCGATAAATCCGCCATGATCCCCCCAGCAAATGCGATCTACTTTGTTCTCGGTAATAAACCCTTTATCTGGCCAAGTCTATTTTTAAGCGTCTGGCATTGGAGATAAAGCCGTTTTGTTTCTCTGGCAGCGGGCAGGGGCGATGTTCAAATTGGATGTGTGGGGTGCCACGCCGAGAGGCGTTTAAACTTTAGGGGAGGATTTGTGTGCAAAAATGTAATTGTTTAGTTTCTTTTTCACTGTTTTGTGTTGGATGGAAGACTGAGGGGGGTGCAAGAGTCTAGTCTAGAGAAGGGAAAGGTTGACTTGACCCGGAGGGACAGATGGTGGAGTTGTTAGCGTATGAGGGGGTGGTGGTGGTGTCACGAATATTGAATCGTGTGGCATAGAATACTCCTTTCTGGGTGGTTATGTTTTCAGCTGGGAGACGTGTTGATCTAACCTAGACCTAGACCTAGACCTAGACCTAGACAGACTTAGACTTAGACCTAGACTTAGACTTAGACCTAGACCTAGACCTAGACCTAGACCTAGACCTAGACCTAGACCCAGACCTAACCTAGACCTAGACCTAGACCCAGACCTAGACCTAGAAATATACCTAGACCTCACCTAACCTAGACCTAGACCTAGACCTAGACCTAACCTAACCTAACCTAACCTAACCTAACCTAACCTAACCTAACCTAACCTAACCTAACCTAACCTAGACCTCACCTAACCTAACCTAGACACCACTTAACCTAACCTAACATCTTCATTTAGACCACCTCCCAGGCCATAAACCAAAGCTAAATTCTCCCAAAGCAAAAAAAAAACCCAACCCAACCTGGATTTGACCTGTCTCCTTTCAAACTTACTGACTTAACTCATTGTTTGAGTGGGGAACTATTTTATTATCGCGGAAGGATACGTCCGAGTCCCCCCCCCACCCCACCCCCCACCTCTTCAGACCCAGTTGCTCAAGCGTTTCTCCCACTTGGGGGTGTCTTGACGAATTAAAGGGCAGCTCACTCGCATTTTCGTCTAGATGCATATGTTAATGAGTCCATGTTTTTATATCTTTCTTAATTAGTCTGTCAGCTTCGTTTCGTCCGACAGAAAAACGCCAGACAAGATGTGGCTGTTGTCATTTTTGTATTAGTTACTTAAATGTGTGTGTGTGGGTGGGGGTTGGGGGGTGGGTTCTGAGCAAAAACCTACTTATCATTTTCGCTGATTATTAAACTTTAACAGTTTCTTTTATGCATCTCTTCATTTCTTCCCCTCTCCCCAATCGAAATAACAATTTATATTTAAAATATTTTAACCAGTGACTGCCCCCTCACCCCCACTCCCGCAAAATTTAGTCCGACCCTATCCCCCCTCCCCCCCCCCCCCCGAAACTCAAATCCAGCCCCCACCCCCCCCCCCCCCCCCCCACCCCCCACGACCTGAAAAAAAAACGTCTGAAAGGAACACTACCACCAATGATTGCTATTTTCTAAAAAAATTCATTGCCTTAGACATAGCTATAATCCTTTCCAAAATCAATAATAACATGAGGCCCAAAAAATTACTTCCCCAACGTGCGCCAGGTACCCATCACAACTGGGTGGACTCAGAGACGCCCTTCTGATATCCTAATCCAGATTTCGCCAATCAGAAATCTGCTCGTTAATTAACACCCTCAACTCAATTTCTTAATATGTATCAATATCTCAAACTGCAGCAGTTGTGTTTGTTGTATTAATGAGAAAGAACATTTTCCATTCTAACAGGAGGGGGGGGGGACAGAGATCTGAGGATTTTTTTTTTCCAATTCCACTTATACAGTACAGCATCGTTGTAATTTAAAAAAATAAATAACTCTAGACCTTTTCCAAGCGCTTGTAGCTTCTAACCAAGCTCTATAAAATATGACCTTGGTTGTTAACCTCCCCCCCCCCTTAGTTTAACCCTCTGCCTTTACATCTAGACTAGTTAAATATCGAGAAGAAAAAGATGGCTGGAAAATGAAACTGAAAATTTGTTTTTGATTTATATATACGATTTTTTTTTTTTTGCCTTTCCCGTCAACTCCACCCTCATATACATGTACGACCCCCCCCCCCTCCTTTTTTTCTCCTTCATCCCTACAACCTGGTACCATAAAACAGCTTTCTAGAAGGTTCCAAATATAAACATACCACAAGACGACGACACCGTTGGCAGCGGCGTCCTGCCCGCATGAAGATAACCCCAGCAGGGGACGCGACTCTCGAGTCCAAGAGATGAGCTATTAACTCCCCTTGACTCCTGGCGTTGAGGGTCTCCGTGACAAGCCGGCCCTCTCTTTCTCCGTGTTTCTCTTTCTTTCTCTTTCGCAACCACGCCCATATGAAAAATTAATCAAACAAAATAATCTGTATATTTCGTTTTAAAAATTTGATAAAAATCTCATTAAATAATATATAACTTGCGTAAAACAAAATTGATGAAAACTCTAACTTAAACAAGATTACAATCGTTTGCCTAAATCCTCAACCACGATTTTTACCTATTGATTCGGTATGATGGCTTTCATAATCGGCGACAACCCAAATATACCTGTTTGTTTTCTTTAACCGAACCCTAGCTCCAAAATGCTAGTCCTTTAACTCAACCTTAGCCACAATATGCCGGCTCTTTAACTAAACCTTAGCCTCAATATGCCGGCTCTTTAACTAAACCCTAGCCTCAATATGCCGGTTCTATAACTAAACCGTACCCTTACTATGCCGGCTCTTTAACTAAACCCTAGCCCCAATATGCCGGCTCTTTAACTAAACCGTAGCCTTACTATGCCGGCTCTTTAAATCAACGCTAGCATCAATATGCCGGCTCTTTAACTCAACCTTAGCCTCAATATGCCTGCTCTAACCAAACCGTTACCTCTAGATCTATATGCCGACTATTTATCTAATCCCTACCCCACTATTCCTGCTCCCAACCAAATATACCTACCCACAACCACCCTACCCCTATCGTATCCTAAGCCACGACCCCCATACCCCCATGTTCCAGAAATGGCAGATTGAATTAAAAATTTGAAAAGAAAACAAACACTTCCCGAAGGCGCGCGGTCATGTGTTTGTTTTCTAAATATTTACGTCTGATTACACTTAATGAGCGGCCCGTCAGTTATGAGCACTATAAATAAACAGTTGGGACTTCCGGTTGAGCAATGATTCGCTAGTCGATCCGACACACCTTGAGATAAACTGGTGAGGTCGAGGATTTTGGGAAGAACTGGTTTGCTAGTTCAGAATGTCGCTTATGATCTGAAACTGTGCTTCATATATTCCGAAACTGTGCTTCTCATATCATACGAACATATCCCGAATTCCGAAACGGTTTCTCTTATATGCCGTAAATTACGCTTCTTTTTGTGTGGACGTATTCCGTAACAGCAGCACATTCTAAGATTGTCTTTTTAAACTTCCAAAAAAGTCCAGTGGCAATTTTTTTTAACTAGCAGGTTCGAGTCTATTTATAGGATCATAATTATAGTCTATGGTGGAGCGGTTTAATTAACACAAAATCTATCCCATTCCAGGTTTCTCAAAAATGCAGTAGCCTACATTACATACAAACTCCGTCTTTTATCTTCTATCTAACTGGAACACAAAACAAAATACCCAATAATGACTCGTTTAAAACTCAACGCATGTCCCTTCTTTAGAAGTCTATCCAATATTTATAATTTATTTCATAATGCAAAGGCGTCTAGGCATAGTGCTGACCACACCATCCCATCATATGCAGAGGGGTCTCAGAAACATTAACTCTACTTCATACGCCCCCAATCTGTCTTGGGTACAAACGGGAAAAGATAATGAAGGTACCAGTGGGTATTTAATTCCGACATGCGCAATGCGCAAGTTTCCGTCTCCCTTGTCGTTCAGAGTGATTCGCCCTTGAGCTGGGAGCCGTTGTCGTCTGGTGGCGCTGTGTGCCGACTTCCGCTGTCAGGTTTGATAAGTCAGGCAGACGATGCACCCTTGAGTTCTGCCATTTCCCGTCCTCGGTTCATCGTTTAGGGCTTTAATGCGAGAGTGGAAAAGTAGCTTATAAAGACTGGCATGTACAATGATCAGAAACTCAAACACGTATTAATGCTACTGTCGACAGGACGTGCTCAAAGTTCATGGTTTAGCAGAATCCTCTAACCAACTTTTTGTAGTAATCTTGATCCCAACTTGCTAATTGTAGTCATAGTCTTAACTCTGACCTACAACAGTGGTTTTTAACATGGGTTTAATATAACCCCAGGGGTTTGGTGAGGTAGTCTCATGGGTTCGGCTGAGATCAAGACACACACAAGACTCAAAAGATTTACGATCGAAATTTTTTTAAAGCAGACAATAGAACTTTTAAGAAGGGTTCAGTGAATGCACATATGAAACTGGTGGTATTCGATACCCCCAAAAAGGTTAAGAACCACTGCTCTAATAGCAATTACCGGCGATGTACGGTCGGCTTAGTTAAAATTCTAAATGTGTAGGCTTTCACTTGTTATAAATACATTTTAATTAATATTAGTGGTCAGATGTCTTAATTTTAAGATTTTAAGTCTTTACCCCAACCCTAATAGCTATATCAGCGATGTACTGTCGGCTTTATTAAAATGTCTAAAAATATGTAGGTTTCATAGGTAATAAAAAAACTTAGATTAATGTTAGTGATCAAGAATGTCTTAATTTTAAGATTGTAATTGTAAGTCTTAACTCCGACTCTAATAGCTATACCAGCGATGTACAGTCGGCTTTATTAAAATGTCTCAATATGTAGGTTCCACATGCAATAAATACACTTTAATTAATTCTAGGAATCAAGTGTGTCTTGGCTTTTAGATTTTAAATTTTGAAATATATTTCTTGCAGGTTAAAAATATCCAACGCCGTGCCCTCAGACAGCGCCACCTACACGTGCAAGGCGACCAATGCCAAGGGCGAAGAGAGCACGAGCGGGATTTTAATTGTCCGAAATGGTGAGTACACACGCCAGACAATCTTCTCTTTACTTCTGTGTCCGACTGTACCAACTTCAATTGGCCGTATCAGCAGATTGCGGTGTCGGCAAAGTGAGAAATGCATGCATTCTATACATTTATTTTGTAATTTTGCGAATCTATATGTCATTCTTTGTACGTTGTATGGGACCGCGTGGCCTAAGCGGTAGAGCGCTAAGCTGCTTACTTGCTAACCCGAAAGTCTCGAGTTCGAATACGGGTCCAAATTAGTAGGACGTCCTGAGTCTCTGACGGGTACCTAACTTTACTCATGTTAGGGAAAGTAAAGGCGGCTGGGCAAAGTGCTGACAACACCTTCCCTTCATATGCAAGAAACTCAAGAAACATATGAACTCTACTCCTACTGCCCAATGGATCGCTAAGTCTAAAGAGGGTTCTTTACTTTACTTTGGACGTTGTGCAGATCTATTTCAGTCACCCTCTACGCACTTACAGGTGAACTCTACTTCACTTGTCCCATTGGACCTTCAGCTTCGATCAGACAACTGTACTTTTACTTTACGCCCTGTACATGTTTGACACTACTTCCTTCCACAGAGGACCCACCCCCTTCTGAGGCGAAAGACGGCAACACGGATTACGATTATAAAGAAACGGACACCCCCATTGATAGAGATGGAGAGTAAGTATTAGCGTCTCACACAAACTACATTCTACATCAGTATAGGTATTACATAGATCTAGAACTATATTAAATTCCCCAATCGGTAGAAGTATTACATAGGTCTATATTACATTCCTCATCAGTAAAAGTATCACATAGATCTATATTAGATTTCACATCAGTAGAAGTATCACATAGATCTATATTAGATTTCACATCAGTAGAAGTATCACATAGATCTATATTAGATTTCACATCAGTAGAAGTATCACATAGATCTATATCATATATAATACATGTTACATAAAACCAGTACCACACTAAAACTACCAGTCCTTTAGCTAAAACGTGAGGTGTGTTTTCTAATCGATATCTAGTCAAACGGGTATTAATTATCTATGAAAAAACAAGAACATTTTCAATTTTAAAAAAACGCAAGTAATTTTTTTTTCAATCTGAAAATCTACTTGTATTGATATTTAAAAAGTGAAAGTTGAAATATATTTTATATATTGGTAGGTACAGAAGAGTGCACGGATATCATTTGAGAGGAGTTTACCACGAACAATAACATATAATCAAACTGATACGTAAATAACTGATAATTTAAAATACCGCATTATAAAAAGATTACCAAGTAAAACGGATGAACGATAACAATTTTTTTTTTACGAATCTTGACAGCGACCACGCTACTTACAAAGAGACATACCCACAAATAAATAGGGGGGTGTATTTACTTTAGCGGGATAATGTCCGCGGAAGAATGAGCTCTTAATAGCGTAAATACCGAGTTATCTGCCCGGAGCTGCATACGGATGACACATCTAGGGCCCGCAATCTCCGACCCCCATCTCGCTCGTGTCATACCGAGACATGACGGAAACCAACGAGTTTTTGTGAGGGTTGTTTTTTTTTTAGAGAGAAAATTTGGTTTACGGTTATACTGGGTAGAGATGCCTAAGGGGTTGCAAATTTGGGGTGGGGGGGGGGGGGTTGGGGTTGGGGTGGATGGGAGATTGTGGTTTATGATTTAGTCACAAGAGCAGGAAGCAGATATGTAGGATAGGGCATCTATCTGGCCGTATGATGAATGTCGGATAGCGAGGTCATGTGACAGGCGTTATCGATGACGTCATTTACATAGGTTCATAGCGCAATGGGCTTTGGTTTGATGGCTAAATGGGCTTCGTGTTCATGGCACAATGGGCTTCGACTTTATATTGAAATGGACTCCATGACGAAATGGGCTTCGGGTTTATAGCGAAATGGGCTCTGGCTTTATTGTGAAATGGGCTTCGACTTTATAGTGCAATGATTTTCGGTTTATAGTAATATAGGTTTTTGCTACATATTACAATGGACTTTGGCTTTATAGCATAATTGATTTCGGCTTTTGAGTGCAATTGTCTTCGGTCTTTTAGTGCAATGGGCTTCGGTTTTATAGCGGAATGGGTTTCGCTTGCACTTTTTAAATAAAGACTTCACTGCTGACGAGTGAAAATGCAACACGTGTAACACGAATTTTAGTTTTTTCTTAGAAACAGTGGGTTACAGATACTAATGTCTTAGTATTATAGCTTGCGGTACAGCTTCAGAATAGGACTGTTCATTCGAATAGAAGCTATATGCTTCTCAATCCTACGCCCAATTTAAAAAAAAATAACAGCGTGCTTTTTTTATACTAAGTTTATACAAACACTCATTATTTTTGGGTCCTAATAAAAATTATTATTTGAACAAGATGCGTCTTTCAAAAATAATTTTAAAAAATAAAAATAAAAACGACTGTACAAAGCAGACTGATGCCACAATTCATCCCCACCCTACTCACCCATTTCCCCTCCCCCCGGGGACTCTAAACTTAAAAAAGAACACGCCTAACCGTGTCATTGTGTAGCCCAGGGCGAGTAAGATTCCTGTCCAGCTCGGGCAAGATTTGTAAACCATGTCGGTAAATAAATGCTGAATCTTGACTGGCGGGATTTAGACGAGCGCGGTGGACGACTTCGCATGCGCGTTTTGTGTATAGTTTACTTAAATAACGGTAATGGGTGTTTACGTGAATCCCGTACTGTAAAACGTACACGTCTTTTAAATCACTAAAATGGGATATTTTTTTTTTGGTCATCTGTGACGCCAAATTGGTCATTTACTGTATTGTAAACACTACCTAAACCTAGTGTAATTAAACCGAAATTGAGTAGTTCCTTCTAAGTACGATTGAATAAATATAGTAGTTTAAACTATAACATACACTAGTCGTTTAGACTTAGAAACGTTGGTGTTCAGTTCCATCCGGAGCAAAAATATCTCATTGTCCAATCGATTATTGTGAACCAGTGTACGTTTATGAAAGTATTTGGGCCCACGTCTATTTAAGAGACATAAAGCTATTTTTTTAGCAGAACACAATTGACATACAAAAAGGTGGGGGGGGGGTCTTTACTACCCATTTGTAATAGGGGGGAGTGATTTTGTTTCTTTGATATATTGCTACAACGATTTCACATTGCACCGTGGTTTGCATTAAAGCAAAGACCCCCCCCCCCCCCCACTTTCCACCCTTGCACCAATTGATTTACTCAAGTCTATTTACTTTTAGGGTTTAAATTTCCCAATGGATTTCGTTCCGGTACCCATCACGTGACCAGAAATGTTTCCCCTCTAAAACTCTCCAAATTCTGGTTCATATTTTTGCCCATACATTCCTCGAAATGGTCTTGAAATTTTCATCACATGTCCGTTTACGAAACCGTTTCTGAATAGATGAAAAAAAATTTCTAATTAAATTCTTAACCATGCCATGTTGTCTATCTACCAGTAATGCCGTGTTAATTGAGTTAAAACATTTTTTAAAAAAAAATACTTTTTGAACCAAAATTTACCTTAACATATCCTATATAATGAAAAAAATATTTTTTTGAAAGAATGTTAACGGTTTATGCTAAATTTAAACAACTCTCCATGTCTGTGCATACATCTTTTATCTTTATCTAACCTGTCAGAAGTTTTAATAGCGCTGTGTGCGGGTCGAGTCCCACACAATCCCACACCAGCCCACACAATCTAACGATTTCACTTTTTCCCTTCTTCAAATTGGAGATGACGTCTTGATAAGTTTTGAAGTCAGACGTCACTCCTGGTAAACAGCTCACCCCCACCCCCACACTGCACCCCCCAATCCCTCTTAATTCTCACCGCTCTACCACGACGCCACCCACTAGTTCAAGGTCACAAGCGATTACCTTTAAAGCAGTCAAGTTAAAATGGGTTCCCGTAAATTTTGTTGTTTTGTAAATTTAAATTTAAAAAACAATAAAAACAAAATCTAGACGTTTCCTAAAATTTAAGGAGAGTTACATCAATATAGGGCAGTCAATGCCAACATAGATATGTCACACCATCATAAGAAAGTAACATAACTATTTTTTTAAATGCATAGTACCAAAAAGTAGAAAATAAATTATTTTCTTAAATTATATAAAAATACACTACTACTTAAATACCTATTAACAAAAGCGCGGGTCACTATATTATCTATTATATACATTTACTAGTATTTAGGGGGAGAACAAAGCCTAGACAGTAACCAAATTATATTTTGGACCCTGGTAAATTTAAAAGAGGCAGATAAAGTAGAGTTCACCTGTGATAGAGAAGCCATATTGTTTGGTCAAAACCAGGCTCTCAAGTAGCTTTTTGGTACCCAAATTAATCCTATAGAGGGAGGCATGGTCGGATGGTAGAGCATACGACTGCTAACCAGAAAGTCTCGAGTTCGGATCCCGGGCTGGAGTCTGCTGTGATGTCTTTGAGTCCACCCTGCTCTGACCCAGATTCGGAAAACAAAGGCAGCTGAGCAAAAAGCTCACCACACTATAATCCCCTTATGCTAAGGTCATTGAAACAGATGAACTCTACTTCATCTGCCCTCTATGTCTTATGCACGAACGGGAAATTATGATAACGTATTGTCAGTAATGAGGTCTACTTTTCTTTATTTAAAATAGAATTTTCAGTATCTCTCTTTTGCCAACATACACAAAAGTCAGGGGAAAAAAACGTGTCTATGTATTATTTGTCTGATTGTTAACCCTAACAGCTATCGTAAATAAATAACAAAATAAATAAAACAATAAAAATAAAATGGGGTAAAACATTTTGGCCAACACTAAATCACAACACCATCTCGGTATCTACAAACGTCAAGAAACAATGGATGGAACTGTACAGGCTTAAAATAGATGGAACTGTATAGAATCCAATCCACCTTTTTAATCTCGCGTGGTACGTTGCTTTTATTGGATGTCACGTGATTTATCGAGGCATCAGATGAGAGTGAGAGATAAATATTGGGAGTATTGGAGACACCTCCTCTTCTCCTCCCCCTCCACAATATGTTGGTCGTGACGTCACCTGGACACCAGGAGGTGACTTTGTTGTATTACTTCTGACTTTAAAACATGGTGTTGCGTCTAGTTAACTTTAAAAATTTCGGCTAGATATTCCAAACACTTACATCGATTTTTACAAAAAAATATCTTCCACTGGTTATGATAGCAACATAAAAATAGAAACCTACATAATAGCAATATGTAAACCTATATAATGGAAATAAAAATATATATAAGTAGTATACACATTTTAGCCAACATAATATCAATATAAAAATGTAAACTTATATAATGGCCATAGAAATATGTAAGTAGTATAAAAGTTTAGCCTAGATAATATCAATATAAAAATATAAGCCTACATAATTTATAATAGCAACAAAAAAAGTAAAAATGTAAGCCTATTTAAAAGCACAAAAAAAATATGTACACCAATATAATAGCAATATAAAAATGTAAGCCTATATAATAGCAACAAAAAATGTAAAAATGTAATCCTTGATAATTGCAATTGTAGAAATAAAACATTTCAATCTGATAAACGAACATTTTTTTTTAAATTTAGACTTTTAAATTGTCCATATAACTACTCCGTTAAGCCCTCGTTAGCCCTTAATCAAAGCTATAACACCCCCCCCCCCCCTTTAGAACGGACAATGCAAAGTCCCCGATTTAACTGTCGACAAAAGCTCTAAATAGCTACCAAAAACTGCCCTTGAGCTCAAGCCATTATACCCCCTCTTTCCCTACACCAAGCCTATGTCAATGCTAATGGCGAGCCTTCATAATTAACCCTTACAACTATCGATGTTACAAATCCCTGTGTTAATACCATATAAAAAATATAATAAATATCTTCGTGATGACAACGTATGACAGTTTTAAACCCTTTATTTTTAACGATCGTGACCGCATTTGTGAAAGCTATGTAAAAAACAAAGATTTATATAGAGCCCACACAACGACCCCCCTCCTCCTTCTCCCACAGTAATATCACGACCCCCCCCCCCTGTATTCCGACCCCTATGATTTATGTAATGCTCTAATCTCCCTGTGTCTTGTACTTTTATATGTAAGACATCTGTTACGTCACAGACAGCCCTTTCAAGCAAAGTCCGACAACCCCACGCAGCCTATGTGATAAGTAGCATATCGTATTAACCCTCCACAGGCTGATTTCGTACAGGCTAATGTTGCATTACAAAATGATAAACAACATATCAAGTTAACCCTTCACTCTCCATGGCCAGACGTATAAAATTTTCTTTAATCAATTTCACAGTAGTGTTGTGTTTTTAGTTTAACGCGAATATGTGTTAATAGAATGGGGTGGGGGGGGGGGGGGGGTGACGTACTTTAGGGCTTTTGGCTTATGGATTAATAGTATGCTCTTTAAAAAAAATAAGCTGAAAATGGTACTGGCATCAATACATCATAATGCATCATAATACATCAAACAAATCAACATTGAAACTAAAATCTACAGAAAAAAATGTTATAAGTATTTGTACATAGATCTATGTATATATAAAAATAAATGTACATGTATATATATATATATATATATATATATATATATATATATATATATATATATATATATATATATATATATATATATATATATATATATATATACATATATATATATATATATATATATACATATATATATATATATATATATATATATATATATATATATATATATATATATATATATATACATATATATATATATATACATATATATATATACATACATATATATATATACATATATATATATACATATATATATATATATACATATATATATATATATACATATATATATATATATACATATATATATATATATACATATATATATATATATACATATATATATATATATACATATATATATATATATACATATATATATATATATACATATATATATATATATACATATATATATATATATACATATATATATATATATATATATACATATATACATCATATATATAAATATAAATATATATATATATATATATGCTTTGTTACGTTAGTAAGTTTCAAACCCTTTCAAAATGTGAATGCCGTTGAACATTCTCCGAAACGAAATTGCTTTAAACATTTCCTGTATAAATGTTTACTGCCTGGGGTGGGGGGAGGGGGGGCATCTGGTGAGTCGCCCAGGTTATTTCCTCCTCTGGCTCTAGGAAAAACTCTGCGATTGTGGTCGCCTGTGTTAGTCGGGTCTGCTGAAAACCTTATGACACTTGTAAACACGCGCGCTAATAGGTTCCTACGGCAGTTGTCTGGTGGGGTTCCTGGGGGGGGGGGTGGGTTCCTGGGGGTGGGAGGGTGGGGTTCCTGGGGGTGGGAGGGTGGGGTTCCTGGGGGTGGGAGGGTGGGGTTCCTGGGGGTGGGAGGGTGGGGTTTCTGGGGGTGGGAGGGTGGGGTTTCTGGGGGTGGGAGGGTGGGGTTTCTGGGGGTGGGAGGGTGGGGTTTCTGGGGGTGGGAGGGTGGGGTTCCTGGGGGTGGGGGTGGGAGGGTGGGGTGGTTGTGTAATGGTGGTGTTGGTTGAGAAGGTGGTGGTGTAGTATGGTGTGGTGGATTAAGTGAGGGGTGGGGTATTTAACAAGGTGTGTCTGATGAGGTTCCTGGGGTGGGGATAGGAGGGTGGGGTGGTTGTGTAACGGTGGTGTAGGTTGAGGTGGTGGTGGTGTAGGCTGAGAAGGAGGTGGTGTTGGTTGAGGTTGTGGTGTTGCTTGAGAAGGTGATGGTGTAGTATGGACTGGTGGATTAAGTGAGGGGTGGTGTATTTATCAAGGTGTGTCTGATGAGGTTCCTGGGGTGGGGATAGGAGGGTGGGGTGGTTGTGTAACGGTGGTGTTGGTTGGGGTGGTGTAGGTTGAGGTGGTGGTGGTGTAAGTTGAGAAGGTGGTGGTGTTGGTTGAGGTGGTGGTGGTGTAGTATGGAGTGGTGAATATATGAGGGATGGTGTATTTATCAAGGCGTGGTGAGGTTTTGGGGGTGGGGCTAGAAGGGTGGGGTGGTTGTGTAATGATGGAGTTGGTTGAGAAGGTGGTGTAGTATGTAGTGGTGGATTAAGTGAGGGGTGGTGTATTTATCAAGGTGGGTCTGGTGAGGTTCCTGGGGGGGGGGGGGATAGGAGGGTGGGGTGGTTGTGTAACGGTGGTGTAGTTTGAGAAGGTGGTGGTGTAGTATGGAGTGGTGGATTGGGGAGTGGTGTATTTATCAAGGTGTCTGGTGAGGTGTCTGGGGGTGGGGTGGTTGTGTAATGGTGGTGTTGAGTGAGGTGGTGGTGGTGTAGTATGGAGTGGTGGATTAAGTGAGGGGTGGTGTATTTATTAAGGTGTGTCTGGTGATGTTCCTGGGGTGAGGATAGAAGGGTGGGGTGGTTGCGTAACGGTGGTGTAGGTTGACAAGGTGGTGGTGTAGTATTGAGTGGTGGTTTGGGGAGTGGTGTATTTATCAAGGTGTGATGTAGTATCAAATGTTGGTGTGTGGCCTAAAGTGGTAGTTTAAAGTATTGTGTATCATTAAATTACGGCATATCATCAAATGGTGACAAATTGTATAATGATGTTCAATTATAAAATGATTTTAATTTATCAGATTGTGGTTAGGAATATAATGGTGGTAAATTATCTAATGATGTTAAATTATGAAATTGTGTAAAATTATCAAGTGGTGGAAAAGTATCAAATTATGGCTAGGAATAAAAGGGTGGTAAATTAAGAAATGGCGGTCAATTATCAAATAGTGGTAAGGAATGAAATTCCCCCTTCTGTAAAACTTGCGATTGTCGCCGAGCGAAATCCTCTTAACTCACTTAAACTTAAGAAATAAAGTAAAAACCACGATTTTCCATATTAGTATAAAGTTTAACTTTCATTAGCTATGTATTAAGTGGATGAAATAAAGAAATCATTTTTGTTTTTATTTAACATTATGTCAAACTGCACAATTAATATTATAACAGGAAATATAAAACATTAATCCAAACATCATATTCTATTTTCTTCTTCCACTAGTTTCAACGGCAGCTACGACAAAAGGACATGGGTATCTACCAATGAGAATACACCAAAAGAAGAAAAGTAAGTGTTTTTTTTCTAATAGTGGTTCTTAACCTGGGTGAGTCAGTCTCAGGGTTTCGGCGAAGATCTAGATATACACCCAACTCACGATCGGATTTTATCAATGCAGATGATTTAACTGTAAGAAATGTTCGGTGAATGCACATATGAAAGCGTTGGGGTTCGGTATCTCCAAAAAAAAACTTAAGAACCACTGGCTTAGAGAGTATACTAGACTATCAGCCTTTTTATACCCAGCAGTGTTAAGTAATGGTTTTCGTAGAAATTGCTTACTGATAGTGTCTTTCTAACTGACACGATGGTCCTTTCTGTGACTGATATGATGGCTCCCTCTGTGAAGCACATTGTGACCCTCCCTCTAATTTTGTGGCCCTCACTCTAATTTTGTGGCCCTCCTTCTAATACTGTGGCCCTCCCTCTAATTTTGTGGCCCTCTCTCTAATACTGTGGCCCTCCCTCTAATACTGTGACCCTCCCTCTAATACTGTGGCCCTCCTTCTAATACTGTGGCCCTCACTCTAATTTTGTGGCCCTCCTTCTAATACTGTGGCCCTCCCTCTAATTTTGTGGCCCTCTCTCTAATACTGTGACCCTCCCTCTAATACTGTGGCCCTCCCTCTAATACTGTGGCCCTCCCTCTAATACTGTGGCCCTCCCTCTAATACTGTGGCCCTCCTTCTAATACTGTGGCCCTCCCTCTAATACTGTGGCCCTCACTCTAATTTTGTGGCCCTCCATCTAATTGTGTGGCCCTCCCTCTAATACTGTGGCCCTCCCTCTAATACTGTGGCCCTCCCTCTAATACTGTGGCCCTCCTTCTAATACTGTGGCCCTCCCTCTAATTTTGTGGCCCTCTCTCTAATACTGTGACCCTCCCTCTAATACTGTGGCCCTCCTTCTAATACTGTGGCCCTCCCTCTAATTTTGTGACCCTCCCTCTGATACTGTGGCCCTCCCTCTAATACTGTGGCCCTCCCTCTAATACTGTGGCCCTCTCTCTAATACTGTGGCCCTCCTTCTAATACTGTGGCCCTCCCTCTAATTTTGTGGCCCTCTCTAATACTGTGACCCTCCCTCTAATACTGTGGCCCTCCTTCTAATACTGTGGCCCTCCCTCTAATTTTGTGGCCCTCTCTCTAATACTGTGGCCCTCCCTCTAATACTGTGGCCCTCCCTCTAATACTGTGGCCCTCCGTCTAATTGTGTGGCCCTCCCTCTAATTTTGTGGCCCTCCCTCTAATACTGTGGCCCTCCCTCTAATACTGTGGCCCTCCCTCTAATACTGTGGCCCTCCCTCTAATTTTGTGACCCTCCCTCTAATACTGTGGCCCTCCCTCTAATACTGTGGCCCTCCCTCTAATTTTGTGGCCCTCCCTCTAATACTGTGGCCCTCCCTCTAATTTTGTGACCCTCCCTCTAATACTGTGGCCCTCTCTCTAATTTTGTGGCCCTCCCTCTAATACTGTGGCCCTCCCTCTAATTTTGTGGCCCTCCCTCTAATACTGTGGCCCTCCCTCTAATTTTGTGACCCTCCCTCTAATACTGTGGCCCTCCCTCTAATACTGTGGCCCTCCCTCTAATACTGTGGCCCTCCCTCTAATTTTGTGACCCTCCCTCTAATACTGTGGCCCTCCCTCTAATACTGTGGCCCTCCCTCTAATACTGTGGCCCTCCCTCTAATTTTGTGGCCCTCCCTCTAATACTGTGGCCCTCCCTCTAATACTGTGGCCCTCCCTCTAATACTGTGGCCCTCCCTTTAATACTGTGGCCCTCCCTCTAATACTGTGGCCCTCCCTCTAATACTGTGGCCCTCCCTCTAATACTGTGGCCCTCCCTCTAATTTTGTGACCCTCCCTTTAATACTGTGGCCCTCCCTCTAATACTGTGGCCCTCCCTCTAATTTTGTGGCCCTCCCTCTAATACTGTGGCCCTCCCTCTAATACTGTGGCCCTCCCTCTAATTTTGTGGCCCTCCCTCTAATACTGTGGCCCTCCCTCTAATACTGTGGCCCTCCCTCTAATACTGTGGCCCTCCCTCTAATACTGTGGCCCTCCCTCTAATTTTGTGGCCCTCCCTCTAATACTGTGGCCCTCCCTCTAATTTTGTGGCCCTCCCTCTAATACTGTGGCCCTCCCTCTAATACTGTGGCCCTCCCTCTAATACTGTGGCCCTCCCTCTAATACTGTGGCCCTCCCTCTAATACTGTGGCCCTCCCTCTAATAATGTGTCCCTCTCTCTAATACTGTGGCCCTCCCTCTAATTGTGTGGCCCTCCCTCTAATTGTGTGGCCCTCCCTCTAATTTTGTGGCCCTCCCTCTAATACTGTGGCCCTCCCTCTAATACTGTGGCCCTCCCTCTAATACTGTGGCCCTCCCTCTAATACTGTGGCCCTCCCTCTAATACTGTGGCCCTCCCTCTAATTTTGTGACACCCCCTCTAATACTGTGGCCCTCCCTCTAATACTGTGGCCCTCCCTCTAATACTGTGGCCCTCCATCTAATTGTGTGGCCCTCCCTCTAATACTGTGACCCTCTCTCTAATACTGTGGCCCTCCCTCTAATACTGTGGCCCTGCCTCTAATACTGTGGCCCTCCCTCTAATACTGTGACCCTCCCTCTAATACTGTGGCCCTCCCTCTAATACTGTGGCCCTCCCTCTAATACTGTGGCCCTCCCTCTAATTTTGTGACACTCCCTCTAATACTGTGGCCCTCACTCTAATACTGTGGCCCTCTCTCACCAGGCCCCCTCGTGTGAACCCGGATAAAGAAAAAGACCGAGAGAAGGACGGGTTCTGCCAGGTCTACAAGGGCTCCACCTGCTCCTTGTACATGGGCAACAGCAGTGTCTTCGTCAGGTCCAAGAAAACTCTCGCGGAGAGGGAGGAGAAATTTATTGGTAGGTACCGGGAATGTGTGGGTGGGGAGGGTCCTTCCTGGCTGAGGTCGGTGTTCATGAGAGTGTGGGGTTGGGTTCGAATTTAGGGTTAGAGAAGCTAACAAGAGTGTTGGGTTGGGTTCGTGATTATGCATAATTAAAGGTTGGGGTTTGGTTTACAGTTATTTAGATTTAGATACGTATGGGGGTTGGGTTAATGGCTGCGTGAGGTAGGCACCCAGGAGTGTAAGGGTTGGGCTCACGGTCTAGCTGAGGAAGGTACTGATAATGTGGGGTTGGGTTTATGGTAGGCTGAGGTAGGTATCCAGGAGCGTAATACTGGATTTGGTTTCATAGTTAACCCAAGGTACATTCCAGAGATAGTAGAGTTAGGCTTTCTGTTAACTTTTGTTGTTTTTTTTAAATCTATATTTTGCCATATCTACAGTGATACAAAAAGTGATACCGCTTAGCATTTTTTTATGCTTAGAAATAACACAACATCGTGTTCACGTAGAAAAAAAATTAGTTTCCAGAAATAGCTTTAACATTTTCATATAGCAGAATACGGTGATATATTTTTTGTGTGATTGACTCGTAGAAAACACCTTAATAGATACCTTCGGTGCCGTCAATACTTTTCTGGAATCCCTGAACTCACATAGCACCCCCTTACGGCGCCAGTCTAGCGCTGGCTGTCTCCCATCTCCCATCAACCGGCGGGGCGAATCCCTCAGTGACAGATGACCTTTGTCACAGCGACAAAAAAACCTCCGCCGGCGAAGACAATTTGTCCATACGCCGGCTTCGTCGCGCCGCACCCGGCTGTTGTTTTTCCGCTGTTCCGGTTAATCCCAGACGGCCAATTGTCGTGCGTCTTGCAGGTCGGATTGATCTTTAACTACACGGGCCTCGGTGTTTTTTGTCTTTATGATTCCCGTCGTCTCGGGGATTAGGGGTTCCAGAACGGAGCTAGAGGCGCGTTGATTAAGCCAAGTCTAAAAAAAAAATAAAGCGGAAATTTGTCGTTATGATCTGCCTCTTGTGGATTTCTGGGTCCTTGTACGATCCAAAACACGTGTCACGTGTTACTATTTATAACTTTATTCGTATTTTTTTTTTTTTTACAGTTGTGTTTTATGTGAATTACCTTACCGTTGTGTTTTATGTGATTTACCTTACAGTTGTGTTTTATGTGAATTACTTTACAGTTGTGTTATATGAGATTTACCTTACCGTTGGTTTTATGTGATTTACTTTACAGTTGTGTTTTATATGATTTACTTTACAGTTGTGTTTTATGTGGTTTACATTACTGTTGTTTTATGTTATGTGATTTACTTTACAATTGTGTTTTATGTGATTTACTTTACAGTTGTGTTTTATGTGATTTACTTTACAGTTGTGTTTTATGTGATTTACTTTACAGTTGTGTTTTATGTGATTTACATTACTGTTGTGTTTTATGTCATGTGATTTACTTTACAGTTGTGTTTTATGTCATGTGATTTACTTTACAGTTGTGTTTTATTTGATTTACCTTACAGTTGTATTTTATGTGATTTACCTTACAGTTGTGTTTTATTTGATTTACCTTACAGTTGTATTTTATGTGATTAACCTTACATTTGTGTTTTATGTGATTTACTTTACAGTCGTGTTTTATGTGATTTACTTTACAGTTGTGTCTTATGTGATTTACCTTACAGTCGTGTTTTATGTGATTAACCTTACAGTCGTGTTTTATGTGATTAACCTTACAGTCGTGTTTTATGTGATTAACCTTACAGTTATGTTTTATGTGATTTACTTTACAGTTGTGTTTTATATCCCCACAGCTGCCTTTGCCGTGATCGGCGCTACACCCAAGCTGTCCGATGCGTGCCAGAAATACGGGATCGAATCCCTGTGTTACCACGCCTTCCCGCCCTGCGACGAGACGTCGTCCAAACCCAAACCTCGTCAGATCTGCAAGGACGAGTGTGAGAGGTTGGAGTCTGATATCTGCAAGGCTGAGTATCTGCTGGCCAAACGACACGATCTGATAGGTGAGGCTTTTGATTGGGTAAAGGTTAATGGTATAATTGTTGCAGTCTGAGGATTGTGGATGGTTAAAGGTTGACGCAATAATTTATGTAGTTTGTCGTATTTGATTGGGGTAAAGGTTAATGGTATAATTTGTGCAGTCTGAGGATTTTGGGTGGTTAAAGGTTGACGCAATAATTTCTGTAGTTTGGGGATTTCGATTGGGCAAGGGTTAAGGGTATAATTTTTGCAGTTTGAGACTTTGGGTTGAGCAAGGGTTAACGATATAATTTTTGCAGCTCTTGTTTAGACAATACACATATTTCTTCAATAAAAAAAAAACAACTTAACCATGTTTATTAAACTGTGTTGGTAAAAAACTTGTGATTTGAATAATGACACTTCTGATTTCGTCTCCCCCCCCCCCCCTTCCCTCAGGAGAAACTTTGCTTCCAAAATGTCACGAGCTGAAAGGCCCGGGGACGGAGGAGTACCAGAACTGCAAAAGACTGGGCATCCCCCCGGGGGTTTATCCCCAGGGTAGGGGAGAGAAGAAACCCTACGAGCGGCCGAATGACGAACCAGGTACTGTTTTTCTATCTACTTGACTCTGTTGTTGCTATGTTGAAAGGTACTGTCACTTAGGGACACTTCCCTATTAGCAGCGCTTATGTTTTTAGGTTTAACCTTAAACCTCATGTAACGCAATGGTTTAACTTGATATGACGGAGTTAAATGGGTTAGTAGGCTTATATTTTCTAGCTATCTGCACTGCATGGGTCGCATGCTTTATACCCATTTATACACGTCTATGTCAATGAAATAGTATAAATATTATTGCAAAAAGACACAATTCGTAAACAATAAACTGGTTTGTGTACTAGAAAGTAACATAACTAGAATACAACTGTAAATACAGCTCAATAAATGTATCATAAATTGGCTAGTAATAGTTATACAAATTCAGGCTAGGTTGTATACAAATATGTATCTGCTCCTCTAGATGTGAATTGCTACACTATATTTCTGATTTTAAACTTAGAGGCAATGTATCATGTATTTAAATATTAACCGTCAAGTATTTATCTGCCCCTCCCTAGATGTGACCTGCTACACTAAATTTCTGATTTTAAACTTAGAGGCAATGTATCATGTATTTAAATATTAACCGTCATGTATTTATCTGCCCCTCCCTAGATGTGACCTGCTACACTATATTTCTGATTTTAAACTTAGAGGCAATGTATCATGTATTTAAATCTTAAACATCATGTATTTATCTGCCCCCCCCCCCCCTAGATGTGACCTGCTACATGGGTACCGGTACCAAATACGAAGGTAAAGTCAGCTTCACCAGAAGCGGTCACACTTGCAGGAGATGGAAGGATATTCCAGAATTCTGTGAGTAGCAACCCTTTTAAAACATTGTTTTCAAAACTGTATCTAGATCCATTAAGTCAATTATACATTAGTATACATTGAAACGAGTATGCTGGTATACAAATTAGTTTGACTCTAGACTGATGGGCAAACTGTCCAGTTCTACTTTTTCAAGTTGAGACTTAACCAATTTTAATTATGATTTTTTCGGATTTTCTCACTCCTATTTCCATTCAGACTTGTCATATTCCACCTAGTCTTTAACCTCCCCCCCACACACACATACACATCCACTCCCCATCACCCACCCTGATAAAACCACTTTAAACCCCCCCCCTTCTCTCCGGCCGTCACACACATACACACACACTGATAAACACCCCCACACCCCCTGTAACACACACCCTTATAAAACCTCATTCCCCCACAAACACCCAGATAAAACCTCATTACCTCTCCACCCACCTCCACACACCCTGATAAACCCCACCCCGTCACACCCCCCTGATAAAACCTCACCCCCCCCGTCACACACATACACATACACCCTGATAAAACTTCCCCCCCCCCCCGTCACACCCCCCCCCCCCTGATAAAACCTCCCCCCCCCCCCCCCGTCACACACATGCACACACCCCCTGATAAAACATCCCCTTCCCCCCCACCCACCCCCTGATAAAACCTCCGTCAAGTTTCTACCCGGGCAACAAACATTATCGGCCGTCACCTCATTAATTGTGTATCAAGTACTCACGCCCGCGCGCACCATCGACCCGCGCACTCAACCGCCAACAGTTTTATTAGCGCCATTTCTCATACGCTCTGCTTATCTTCGGATCTCATTAATCAAAAGTTATCTGACCGAATCTCAACAGTTATCCCCCAACCCCCCTCCGCCTCACCCCCCACCCCCCACACCAGATATCACTCATTATTCACGAGTATATTTAGTTATCTCCATCCAAGTTTCACTATTTATCCCCCCTCAACCCGATAAATGTCACCAGTTATCTGCCCGACTATAACAAGTTACCTCCTACCTCTTCCAGGATTATCACCTGTTATTGCCCCTTATCACCAATTATCCCCAGTTGTCACCCCAATATCACCAGTAATATACAATTATCATCAGTTATTATCCCCACTATCACCAGTTATCTACCCCACTATCACCAGTTATCTACCCCACTATCACCAGTTATCTACCCCATTATCACCAGTTATCTACCATTATCACCAGTTATCTACCATTACCACCAGTTATCTACCATTACCACCAGTTATCTACCATTATCACCAGTTATCTACCATTATCACCAGTTATCTACCCCATTATCACCAGTTATCTACCCCAGTATCACCAGTTATCTACCCCAGTATCACCAGTTATCTACCATTATCACCAGTTATCTACCATTATCACCAGTTATCTACCCCAGTATCACCAGTTATCTACCCCAGTATCACCAGTTATCTACCCCACTATCACCAGTTATCTACCCCACTATCACCAGGTATCTACCCCCCCCCTCATTATCACCAAGTATCTACCACACTATCACCAGTTATCTGCCAGTATCATCAATTATCTACTCTACTATCACCATTCACCCACCCTACTATAATCATTCATCTGTCCCAGTATCACCAGTTATCTACCCCTACTATCACCTGTCATCTGTTCTACTATCACCCGTTATCTACCTAGTATCACCAGTTATCTAACATTATCACCACTTATCTCCCCCACTATGACCAATGATCCCACCACCAAATCCCTCTATAAACCTACGTTTGCTCCCCTCTCCCCCAGCTGCTGTTGGTGATCACAACTACTGTCGTAACCCCAGCAAGACTGAGGACAGTCCTTGGTGTTTTAAAGATACCCGAGGGAAGGAACGAGAACTCTGCGAGATACCAAAGTGTAGCGAGAACAGTAAGTAGACTTTCACCCCTCACACACACACATATATATCACACACACACACACGTACCACACACACACATACCACATGCACACGCGTGCCACAAACACACATATGATATACACATGCACACACACACATACAGACATACACACACACACACGTACCACACACACACACATACCACACACACACTTACCACAAACACACATACGATACACACACGCACACACACTTACAAACATACACATATACGCACACACGTACACACATACATACACGTACCAAACACACACCCATGATATACACATGCACACACACATACACAAACATACATACACACATACACACATATACATTCACATATATACACATATACCTTCTTTGTAAACTGAGTGTTACATTATAGCTTCAATTTTGCTTATCATTTCTATATTAAACATTTGCTGAAATATAATCGCTGTGTGATATTGCCACCATTTTTTTCTCCATAATGTATTGGTAGATTTAGAAACAAAATAAGTTTTGTTAGTTCTGATGTGTATTTTTATCTTTCTGTAAGAATTCTAATTAAAGAATAAAAATTATTTTAAACGTGTCAACTGTTAAGTGTTTAAGCGGAAATTAAACACAATTGTGCGGTGTATAAATAATACATTAGTTTACACTTTACACCGATGCTCTTTATTTTCACCTATCAATTTTTAGGCGCCTTCTTATTCTGATTATCTGTCCCTGTTGTCTCCCTTGCTGTTTATCACCGCCTTAACAAATGTAATGAAGAGCTCTACGCAGGGGACGCTACTCTAACAATTTAAAATTATCAATTTATTTTTTAACGTTTTAAATGTCAGATTTTTTAAAAATGGTTAAATCATGATTGTATTAGTTGACATTCGAAAAAAAGATAAATTAATAGCTCTTTAGATTTTAAAGTTTTGCAAACACTTCTAATTTTTATTTAATCAAGATTAAGGGATAAAGGATCATCCATAATCAACGTCACACTTGTAAAGAGGAAGGAATGTACGAAATAATGTGACGAGGTGTAGGAGTATAGGTTTATAAAGAGTTAGGAAACACTTTAGCATTATAAAAACAAATATCAAAAGCCGTTTCTTATGTTTTAAAAAAGACTTGTTATGATTGAAATTGATCAATATACTTCATATTTTGCAGAAAATCTGTAAATATTTTCATTAAATAAATCGTTATTTTAAAACAAATTTGCAAAATGTTTAGAGGTATGATAGGCAGAGTTGTAACTTCATGTTGGTGGGAGGGGGGGGGGGGGGTGTCTGGCTTTTTGTGACGATAGGGAGAAGGGGTGGACAGAAATGAATGGTGTTTATTTTTGTCGTTTTATAATTTGTGTATGCATAGTTAAAAAAATAATGATTGAACGTAGCATAATTCATAGAGTATTTTCTTTTGATTAAACCAGGGGGCACAAATCCCCATCCGCACCACCCTAGCTCCGCCACTGAATCCGCTTGTCAACCTTTACATACCCCCCCCCCCCCCCCCGATACACAATACGTTTTGATACGAAACTAACCGGGGTCTTGATCCAAATAAATGGCAAGCTCAGTCACTTCCTGCCCTCACCTGCGCCCCATCCCTCACCCGCTATCTGCACACGTTCGGCTGAGTACTCAATTGGCGGGGACGGAGATGCTAGATCCGCCTGGGTTAACCGGGCACTTGCCGGCTATCGAGTACGGCCATTGGTGATTTTAATTGGAGCCGACGAGAAAGGGAGAGCACTACAAAATATGAAGTAGATGGGTTAAACGCCCCTGTTAAATATAATGAGTAAATCATTAAAAGAGTGTGGATATTTTTTTTAATTACCTTCTTGACGCTCCTGTTAAATATAATGAGTAAATTATAAAGAGTATGGATATATATTTTTTTTTTCATTATCTTCTTTAAAAATGTATATTTCAATTTTTTATTCAAGTCATAAAACCAATAAACCAAGGCGAAGATGGAAGGTTTTACAGTAAACTCGATCGTAAATAACACGTTATTGATATACAGAAAAAAACAGGTCACACTTCTTCACATTTATCGCCGATTTATTATGATTTACGTTTTTGTAGTGCTGACTAGAACTCGTATTTTTCGGTACTTGGTATCACCGCGGCGCGCAAGGATCTCGATTTACCGCCGAGTAAAGTAGTTCCGCCTATCCGCACGTGACGCCATATTTAAAACGTAATGGACTGGAAACGATTAGGTTGATGCCCCCCTGTCAATCTACTTTATGTTTTAATTTTCATAATTTATGAGAACTAAATGTTTTTTATTTAGGTTTTAGATAACCATGCGATAAATCAATATTAAAAACAATTAATTCGCACACGAAACTCTTTTAATTAAAAAAAAAAACATCAAATTCCATTCCAATTTTCTAAATCTTTAATCCTAAGAACCGTTTGTTGTGAAGCCAACTACAAGGATTTACTAATATGAGCAACAGAAAAAAACCTGATTTTTTTTTTCAATATTGAGGAAACTACACCATTTTAGATAGTTACCCCATATTAGTAGCTGTAACGTTAGAAAAAAAATTAGAATAGACGATTAGAATTAGAATGGACGATTTTACACAATAAACAAATAAATAAGACAAATAGCAAAGATTTTGTTATATTACTCTTTTATCTACTATTCCTTACCCCCCCCCCCCCCCCAAAAAAATGAATTTTTAAAAATCATCACATACTAATAAAATAAACCACTCCATTACCGCTTAGTGTGATATAATATTTGCATGGCCCAAACCCGTATTAATGTATTGAATGACCGCGCAACAACTACGATGCTAACCTAAAAAAATACCTTACTCTAACCGTGTAGCAAATTAGGTCGACTTCTGACCTAACAAACCTTTACTTTTTCTAACGGTAAACCAATCTAGACCCCCCGTTATCTCCAAACACGAAAACCCAATCAGATTTTCCCATTAAATGGCTTGGCCTAATCAAATTACCCCGTGGCCAGTTATCAGCTTAGGCAATGTGAAAACAACCTTCTCCAATCATTGTTTCCAATCATTGTTTCCACCTTTAGTTTTTACACATTTTTTTCGCACTTGATTTAGGCTGCTTCTGTTAGAAATGTCTCGTTTATATTCAACAATCAAGTTAAGAAGGGAAAAATTGTTTAAAGGCAATCTTTGCTGAAATAATTTTTAATTATCTAAAGTCAAACTGCTAAAATAACTAAATTTTTTAAGTCAAACTTTGCTGAAATCATTGTTACATTTTAAAGTCAAACTCTACTAAAACAATTGAATTTGAATATTAAAATTGAAAGTTAATCTTCGCTTAAATAAATATAACCTTTATACCAGCTGAAGTAATTTACTAAGCGAGTAAGCATTTCTTTGATCTTTACAAAAAAAAACCCAAGTTACCATGGGTACAGTTTCCATCATAGTCCTACATCACATATTTTCAACATACATTCTACCACCATCTTTGACTGTAACATTACATCGCTTCCGTATCAAAATACTACATTAACAATATCTATTTTACTTGATGCTGAGGTTGTGTTTTTATTTTACAAAAAAAAAGTGATAGTAAAACGAATTACAATATGAAAATAAAGAAAGGAATTTATGATTATTTTCTTTTCAAAAACAAACCACCATATGTCCACCCCCCAATTCCCTTCCTCTCCATGAAAAATGTGAAATCCATACATATTTTAATCCCCTATAAAATGACTAAATGGGAATTTCTGGGCGCGCTAACAGGCAAAGGGCGGACAGGTTGGTTGTGCGCGCGCTATCAATTCAGCTCACCTGAGCCCACTGGGAGGACGCATGCGCGAAACTTAAGTGTATTAATTAAGGATTTATCGCACCCCGGCAACCCCGTGCTCCGATAACGGACCTTGATTGCGTCAAACAAGTGCAATTCTCGCGAAATTTAGGGCCAGTCTCGTTGTTAGGTTATCGAACTATTCTTTTTTTTTTCGATTTAAAAATAAATTATACTGTGATTTATACTATTTGCGATGAATTAATACCGTGTTAACACGCCCAGTTTTAGTTAGGCACACCCGCATGCAGGGGCAATTCACATGTTCGATACATGCCGGAGTTATCGTTCGTTCAATACGCCATGCTGGAGTTATCGTTCTGGATACCAAAAAAAAGTTTTGGCCCCTTGATTGATTTAGTTTTACATTTATCGGAAGTTTGATATCTATTAATAGAACGCATGTTTGTCATCGCTGAGATGTCGAGTAAGGGGGAGGTAAAGGTTAGATAAGGTGTGTGGTTGGGGGGGGGATTTGAGGATGGGAGGTGACAGCCTCACCCTGCGCTCTGCTGCCTCTTGAAACGTGTGAAACGTTTAGGTTTTAGCAGCGGCCTGGCTCAGCTGGTGCCCTGTTTAAATGTACCGGAATTAACCTTTATAAGATCGTGGGTCTGTGGGGGCTGGTTTCGTCCCTGTAGTTTTTTAAGTGTGAATGGTAAGTCATATATATATATATATATATATATATATATATATATATATATATATATATATATATATATATATATATATATATATATATACTGGTAGGCCATACCATACTTCCATCCGTGTATAAGGATAGTTAGGCGACCCAACCACCCCTGTAAGTGGATAATTGTGCAATCCCACCTCCCCTTTAAAGGATAGGCCATCTTTCCACCCCTGTATAATGGAATGGGTACATTCCACCACCCCTGTAAGGTTAGTTAACCCATATCACCACCCTATACTGGTTAATATATCTATCCCACAACCTCTGTATAAAGGGAGTGGGGCCATCTCACTGTCCCTGTATAAGGGAAGTGGATCTATTCCATTATCCCTGTTTAAGGGAAGTGGATATATTCCACGATCCAAGTATAAGAGAAGTGGATCTATTCCACGATCCAAGTATAAGAGAAGTGGATCTATTCCACGATCCAAGTATAAGAGAAGTGGATCTATCCCACGATCCAAGTATAAGGGAAGTGGATCTATCCCACTATTCCTGTTTAAAGGAAGTGGATCTATCCGACTATCCTTGTATAAAAAATGTGTATCTATCCCACAATCCCTGTATAAAGGGAGTGGGGGCCATCTCACTGTCCCTGTATAAGGGAAGTGGATCTATTCCATTATCCCTGTTTAAGGGAAGTGGATCTATTCCACGATCCAAGTATAAGAGAAGTGGATCTATTCCACGATCCAAGTATAAGAGAAGTGGATCTATTCCACGATCCAAGTATAAGAGAAGTGGATCTATTCCACGATCCAAGTATAAGAGAAGTGGATCTATCCCACGATCCAAGTATAAGGGAAGTGGATCTATCCCACTATTCCTGTTTAAAGGAAGTGGATCTATCCGACTATCCTTGTATAAAAAATGTGTATCTATCCCACAATCCCTGTATAAAGGGAGTGGGGGCCATCCCACCACCTAGCTCTAAGGTAGGTACATACAGAGAGGGGCGGGCCATGGCAATTAGACTCGTCTGTTATGCTTAGTTTGATCTGGCCAGTCCAAGCCAATTTGTAGGCGGTAAATAGAACCAATTTAATTTATTCCTACGGTGTTCTGGTTTGGGCAGATGGTAAAACTTTGGGGCCGGTAACTCGCATTTTTTGTCCTTGTGTCTCAGCTTTAGAAAAGGAAGAAAAAAAATATGGTCTAGTTTTTTACCTCCCTTTTTAGATATTTATCGTTCTTGGCTTAAGGCTCCAGATCTGCCTTGATTCTTATCTTTTTGGGGATTTTTCCCCTTATGAGATGTTGTTTACACTTTCACGTTTCGTTTTAATTAAAGTTTTTTTTTTTGTTTTTTTTTTTAAATACTTACCATCCAGTTATATCTTGATTTAGCATTTCAGGGACACAACGTTAATAAAGATGGGAGGGTCGGATCAAGAACGTTTTTGGCGCTTATTGTTCAATAGTAAAAATATGTAAAAGAAAAATAATTGTAATAATGTGATGCTGTTTAAATGCGTGGTATTTGGTGTGTTATGAGAGCTTTTGTAATATCTACGTTCATCTCTAAAAAAAATGTATTATTTTTATATAATTCGTGAAGAATTAACGTTTTAACTGGCTTCTTAATATATCAAAAATTTCATGTCGGCATTGTTTTTATACAAATAAGTTACAGGCTGTGGTGCTTATGGGGCGTAAATTATACGGAACTACAACTCTTTTTTAAAAAAGAAGAAATGTTTCTATATCACTGATATCGTCGATTATTATAAATGCAATAAATTGTTTTTTTTCCTAACAAATATCACTCAGTTCGTGGTACGTGTACGTCATGTGTCGATTTTAATGCTAAGGGTGGAAACAAACTGAGATGAAAACTGTTATTGTATAAACACCTCAACGAGTACCTCCTGCGTTTAAACACAACACTGGTGGGATATATAGAATCTTGGCAGAGATAGATAAGGATGAGTAGACGACTCACAGCGAATTCTGTTTGTATTGACTACAAAGCCGGTTCGTTTCTTGATTTCCTTCGATCATTGATATAAAAAAAAAGTATTTGTTTTACCAGCATGAGAGTTTGAAGCAACCTTTAAGATAGAAGGTAACACTACTGGAGTGGTACCAAACCGTCTGGGTCGTTTGCTACTGCAGACACCGCATGCTGAATGGATCAAAGCGCGGCAGGGGCGACACCCAGCGGTGACCTCGTTTCAATCACTTCCCTCGCCCCATCGCCACTGGCGATACCTCGGCGTCCTTACCTTTTTGAGCGGAGCCCTGAAGCCGGAGTATTCCTTATAATTACATACATACGCCTGCGAGCTTTTTTTTTAATAAAAAAATTATTTGATTTATGAAAAAAATATGTTTTACTGTTTAGAAGTTTAAAAACTATTTTCGAGGTTGAACATTTTATTATTCATAGTTATTTCCCTTGGGTCTTATTGCTACGCAGTTATGCTTTTCGTTTGCCAGATAAAAATTTGAATAATTCCATCACTTGTATTGTTTTAATAGTTCATCTTGTAACCAAACCACATCCCGACGAACACCGCATACAGCCTCTGCTTGAATATCTACAGCGTGTTTAGACTTTCTTAATCGGGCGTGAAACACAAACTTGGTACGCCGTAACACCACGGACGTCATGTTGTCAAGGAGCCAGATAAATTTCGCAGATTTTCTCTCGCTCAGTGCATTCGCGTTTTTCTTTGTTCTTTCGGGGGGAAATCGTTAATAGATAGTGGGGCGGGGTTAGGGTTTGTTTGGGGAGGAGGTGATGAGTACAGGGGCACGTGCAAGTGGTTGTCATTTTGATGGAGGGGCGTGTGCTAGTGCAGGAATGCAACTTTTGGTGTGTAGGTGTTTAGCGTTGGGGAGTAGATGTTTTGCATTGGGGAGTGGATGTTTAGTATTATGGGGTGGATGTTTTGTGGAGTAGATGTTTAGTAATGTGGGGTGGATGTTTAATGGAGTGGATGTTTTGTGGAGTGGATGTTTAGTGTTATTGGTGGATGTTTAGTGTTGTGGAGTAGGTGTTTAGCGTTGTGGAGTAGATGTTTAGTATTGTGGGGTGGATGTTTTATGGAGTGGATGTTTTGTGGAGTGGATGTTTAGTGTTATTGGTGGATGTTTAGTGTTGTGGAGTAGGTGTTTAGCGTTGTGGAGTAGATGTTTAGTATTGTGGGGTGGAATTTTATGGAGTGGATGTTTTGTGGAGTGGATGTTTAGTGTTATTGGTGGATGTTTAGTGTTGTGGAGTAGGTGTTTAGCGTTGGGTAGTAGATGTTTAGCGTTGTGGAGTAGATGTTTAGCGTTGTGGAGTAGATGTTTAGCGTTGGGGAGTAGGTGTTTAGCGTTGGGGAGTAGATGTTTTGTGGAGTAGATATTTAGCGTTGGGGAGTAGATGTTTAGCGTTGGGGAGTAGATGTTTAGCGTTATGGAGTAGATGTTTATCGTTGTGGAGTAGGTGAAGTAGATGTTTAGCGGTGTGGAGTAGATGTTAAGTATTGTGGAGTAGTTTAGTTTTGTGGAGTGGATGTTTTGTGGAGTAAATGTTTAGCGTTATGGAATATTGTGGGGTGGATGTTTTATGGAGTGGATGTTTTGTGGGGTGGATGTTTAGTATTGTGGGGTGGATGTTTAGTGTTTGGGATGGCAATTCGGATTGGATGTTTGGTGGTTGGGAATCGATGGTTAGTGTTTGGATTCGAAGTTTAGATTGGAGTTTTAGTATTTGGGATGGGATGTTAAAAGTAAGGCTTGGAATTTTGAATGGATGTTCATTGTTCGGGGTGGAAAAGTTTTTTTTATCAGATATGTAATTGTGTTGCCAGTAAGTGGCAACTGTTTTTTCTTTTTTTTTTTTAGAGGGGAAATCTGGAGCTAAGTATGGTGTTTATGGTTACTTTTCTAGTTGACTGGATTTTTTGTTAATTGACCTAGATGTTATTTACGTTCTATTATGCATATTAACAATGAACGTATATTAACATTAAGTGTACAACACCTGAATATACACACTAATAAAGACCTGATTTCCAGACATCTCTGAATTGCCTTGTAATTAACTGTTGATGTTTTCTACCCCCACAGACCACGGAGACTCCAACAAGCTCATGTACATCCTGATCCCGTCCCTCACGGTGCCGCTCACCCTGGGGATCCTACTAGCACTCGTCTGCTTCTGTCAAAAGTCGCGTATTTCAAGGTCAGTGTAAAAAATGGTTCCTCTTTTGGTCATTTCCGGTTGGAGGACATGCCATAATCGATGTTTCTTTCAGACATTTTTCTTCGTGGTTGAAGTATGTAAACTACGATCCTGGTACATCCCCCCATCCCCTGAAAAGATGCCTGGAACAAAACTGTTTATAATTGCATAGGCATTCATTATTTAAGTGCTTAACATATGTAGGCTTAATTAATATTATAGATGTATGAATACTCCGGTTAGATGGTAGGGACTACTTCTAAGCGAAAGTAAACAATTAAATATATGAACATTAAATAACAGCTTTAGTGAGAAGAATATGATGAAATTGAATCTCACGTCATATAATTTAAATTATAATAATTAAATTAACTTGCGTATTGGTTCAGAAATGTAATTTTTATTGTGCCATGCTAAACTAATCCATTAACCTTTGACCTTTTCAGGGTAGCCCGACCCAACGGCAAGCAAAGTCAACCGGTGGAGATGAGCCCCCTGAACCCTAAAACTGCCAGCAGGGCACGGGAGTTCCCCATGCACAACATCCGGTTTCTGCAGGAACTCGGCGAGGGAGCCTTTGGGAAAGTCTACAAAGGGGAGCTCATCGGAATGTTCAGCGAGAGTTCCGTCACCAAGGTAGCCATCAAGACACTCAAAGAGAACGCTCAACCAAAAGTACAAAATGATTTTCGCAGAGAGGTAGGGTTCTCTTCCCCTTTGTTTAATGCATTTTCCTCTTTAGGAGCCTATGCGGAATTCTCTGAATAATTTATTACTTGTATTTGAATATAGATCTAGATGTACTAACGACAAAATATCTCAAAACATGTTTGGAAATTTGGATTATGTAAGGGACATAACTTTGGAAAAGTATTTCAAAAATAGTAATTTTTAGTGTTACCTCCCTTGATTTGAATACCCTGAAAAACCACTAGATTATAATACAGTACAGCACGCGGAATATCCAATAATTGTCTATAACACTTAATTTTTAATAATAAATTAAATATATACAATTTTAGTGTTGTATACTAGATGGTAGACTGCATTATTAAATACTTAAATTCACTTTAGAAAGGCCACGCCTATAACATCAAGTATAGCATTCTATATCTGTAACATTTAATAAATATTTCCGTGGAGATACTAGTTTATCAAATATTTCACTATGTTTTAGAAAGGCCACGCCTGTAACATCAAGTATAGCATTCTATATCTGTAACATCAAATACAATACTTTCATGGAGATACATGTTTTAACGAAACCACTAAATTTATTTCTCCCATAGGTGGATCTAATGACAGAAATGCGGCACCCAAACATCGTCGGCCTTCTTGGCGTCTGCATGAAGAAGGAGCCGATGTGCATGCTGTTTGAGTACATGGCCCAGGGCGACCTCCATGAGTACCTGCTCTCCCACTCGCCACACTCTGACGTCACTTCCGGGGAGGACGACAGCGGCACCGGAGCTGGGCATATCCTGGAGTACAATGAAATGCTTCACATTTCAACACAGATTGCAGCAGGCATGGAGTATCTGGCCAGTCACCATTTTGTACACAGAGATCTGGCTGCTAGAAATATTCTAGTGGCTGAAGGCCTTACGGTTAAAATTTCAGATTTTGGTCTATCGCGTGATGTGTATTCATCAGATTATTACCGGGTACAGAGTAAGTCTTTACTTCCTGTAAGATGGATGCCACCGGAAGCAATTCTTTACGGGAAATTCACAACAGACAGTGATGTTTGGGCTTTTGGTGTTGTCCTTTGGGAAATCTTCAGTTACGGCTTGCAGCCGTACTACGGGTTTTCTAATCAAGAAGTTATTGAAATGATTCGCTCCAGACAAATTCTGGCATGTCCTGAAGAATGCCCTGCCAGAATTTATGGCTTGATGGTGGAGTGTTGGCACGAAATGCCAGCCAGGCGTCCGGCGTTTAGGGAGATTCATACAAGGCTGCGCACCTGGAGAGCTGAGGTCACCCCCAACGCTCCGTGGGCTCTGTCCCAGAGCCAGTCTGGCCACTCCAGCTCCACCCACCAAAGCACCCAGTCGCAGCCGTCCCACCACAGCAGCACCGGACCAAGCAACACCACGGCTGTCACTGGGTTGACAGGGAGCAGCAACACTTCTGAGCCCAGCCCGGGGCAGCCCATGTACCCGCCTCCGTACACGCCTTACAATCATGGAGGGTCGTTGTCCCCCACCCCGTTTGGTGGCGGTGTGCCGCAGCAGCAGCAGCAACACCAACAGCAGATGTATCCTGGGAACGCAATGAACAGCATGCAAATGCATCCGCAGCAATACAAGGCAAATCCTTACAACGGCCAAAATCAGTATGTTCAGTATCCCGGAGGCCAACCGGCTGTATTAAATCTCCAAAGTGGCCAAATTCAGATGCCAAGAAACATGCCCCAAAACGTAACCCAAAACTTTGCAAATGGCGTGGGAGCCAGCACTAACGGCCCCAGTAAAGTCTCCCCGGCAGGCTCTGTTGCCAGCTCCAAGTCCTCTAACAGCGCCTCATCAACCAATAACTTAGGTGTCACCGGGGGCACCGCCCCTAGACCAGGCATGGCAGGACAAACCACCAACAGCCACACCAACCAATCCGCGAGTGCCAGCCAAAAACAACACCCACAAATGTACATTGGGGGTGGAGCTTCAAGTGTTCCCACCCCGCCCCCTGTCAATATCCCAGAGTGCAATGGTTTTAACAATTTCTCTCATTCTGGATTCTCAGATCAGCAGAGAACGTCAAACATATAGACAATTGCAAGAACTTTGCTACTAGAACTCTTCTGCCTTTAAAAGAATGTAATTGATTATTTATTTTTTAACACGTAGGATGTATTCAACTGTATGGAAACACTTCTGTCATGAAGCTGTGATGCCTAACTTTAGTGTACATTCAACCCATTTTAAAACAATGTTTTAACTATCCAAAAGCTTTTTAAAAAAATAATGTAATTTTTATAAACATAAAAATTATAGTTTTATTAAAATGTCCATGAAACATCTTCAGTACCAAATAACAGCATTTTCTCATTGTATGTATAAAAAAAAAACATACCTTTGAATATCTGAAACAAAAACTAAATAATAAAATAAAAAATGCAACCAATTAACACAACAAAAAGTAAATATTTGGACGTAATAATATAAACGCATTAATAATTTTAGTTTCTGCTGGTTTACGGCAAACAAAATGTTTTTTTTTTTTAGAAATATAGGATTTATAAATATGAATTTTATCTGTTTTTGTTCAAACATTTTCATTACTCCTGTTGAGAAATGTCACAGCCAGTCACTGTATTACAATTAAATATGACTCAAATTATGAAAACTAGTCACATCAGTGGGCTATGTAACATATCACTGGGGGAAAAATAATATTCATTCAGCATTTAATAATGTTTTCCATTTCAGTGTAAAAAGTTTAATGTGGTGAACATCTGTCAAATGTATCACACGTAATTTGTCGCATATAATCTGTAAATATGTTTTCTAATATTGAGACTTAAATGTTTATTTTTTCTCATCTTCGAAAACAATATTTAATGTCAATAGGAGTATTTTGTATGCTACTAAAGCTAAAATGAATTGGATGAACATATTTTAGAAATTTGTTTATATTCATACATTAAACTATGTTCGGCATTAATTATTTGGCAAGTAACAAATATATTTCTGTTATACAGAGAATAATAATAGTTTTATTTTCTTCACATTGCCTTGAGGTAAAATGAAATGATAAAAATAGATTTTTTTTGTTGACGGTATCTGTGACATTTTAGGCTAATTGTGCCAAAATGATTAATTCTTAATATGCTGCTGAACTGTAAAAGACAGCAATAAGTATATATATATATATATATATATATATATATATATATATATATATATATATATATATATATATATATATATATATTAGAAGAAGTAGATTTTACTGTATGTTATATGACTGTCTATAAAAACTTACTACAAACCCATCTTTTCTTACGCTATGTATTTTTACCCTATGGTTATCAACAGTATTGAATTACTTCTAATACACTTTGTTTATTTGTTTGTTTTTTTAAAAAAAGAGAAACAGCATAATGAAATCATAAGATTTCCAAAATACAGTTAATTATAATGGTGCTACTCAAATCCACATTATTTTCCATACTCATTAATTCATATCATCAGGTTCTTACACTTTTTTTTTTAAAATTGCATGTTCACAAATCAAAGCTAAGATTTTCTAGATCCCTCAATAGAATAATAAAAATATAAACATGCTTTTAATTCATTACCATTGCTTAAAAAAACTAATTATTACATTAAGAAAAAACAGTATTAAGACATAAACTAGGACCATATAATAATAGTATCATCGAGCTGCAATGCTTTGAAAATATTTTTGCTAAATCTGTTCAACCATTATTTGTATATTATTTCCTTAATTTTTAACAAAATAAGTCAAAGTCAGATGACATCAGATGCTATAACCAAGAACTATTTATTATTGTATTGATTTAAAGCCATGATCCATCAGGAATTCTAAACAAAGAACGCATATTTATAATTTTAAAATATTGCTTTTGAAAATTACAAAATAACTAAATTTGCATTCATTACTCATACAGAACATTCCTTTTCTTTTCAATTCTTACTTTAGAAAGTTCAAGTTCTTGTGCTTTGAATTTTAAAAAATTTCATGTTTAGGCTATAAGGCTTAAAAACACATTTCTTGCAAACGAATAACCAGCTTAAGTGCAATGCCCATGAAATTCAAAATTAGAACCTACAATTTTTGTACATTTTTATATAATGGAGAGTCTGTATACAAATGGTGGATTAGCCTTTATTTTTATATCAAAAGAAAATCTCAATATTCATCTCATTCAAAGTTCAAAACTAGATCTATTTACCAAGGATATATGAAACAAAATTTCCCTTCATTTATTTCAATTACTTATTGAAGCATAATATATAGCAGACATGCAATAACATATAAAGAGTAAATGTTGTTTTAGTTAAAATCTTTGTTTTTTTATGCCAATTTGTTTTTTTAATACAATATTTATAAATTATTGATGAGAAGTATTTATCAAGATTTACCTGTGTTTTTTTGTTCCCATTATGATAGCTTTGTACATAAAATAGTCTTGTAAAGAAGAATGCTTTCACAGCAAGGTGTAATATTGTTTATTGCTTTGTACATATACACCAGTCATATACCCAGCACTAGTGTTGATGCTTCAGCCATTTGTGTTACTAAGTTTATGTAGAACTTGTTCGATATAAAGATTTTGTTTACTGGTTTAAATGAGGTTGCTAGAAGAAAGGAAAAAATGTATGACAATCATTTATAACAAAATGTCTGTACTTATTTGAATGCATTTTTTGAATGTTTATAACTTAATCATGTGATTATATGTCATTGTTTTGTTTTCAACAATTTCTTGTCTGTAGTTGAACTAAGAAAGGTCCCATTGTATTGTTAAAATAAGACTTAATTAGTTTTATTATTTTTCATAAATTTTAAACTTACAACTCATGCGCGTGCTTCATAATAATATTACCATTTCAATTTTTGTTCAAAGACAATCAATGCTGAAGTCAATTGAAAATATACATAGCGACCAAGCTGTTTGCTAAGTCATTTCATAGCTAAGTTGACTTGATGTGTTTATCGACTAAAATATTAAAATTTCAAGTCCATCTGTTACAAGTTTTTTTTACGTTGTAACTTTAATTCAATGCATTATGATTGTATTCCACTCAGATGCAGGTTTTTTTTAATTAAATCAGCCAAGTTATCAGGTAACTGCAGCACTTTTAACTTAAGCATTGTATGTATTGATTTTTTTATTAAAAACCTAAAGACTATTAGATCTAGCTGTTTAATTATTAAATGACCATCTGTTCTTCACATCTTTTACATGTTTGAAGACACTGTATTGAACGCAATACAGTTGAGGTTGCACTTTTAAAGATGTACCCAAACAATTTTATATTTTAGAGGTTTTTCTCAATTTAAATCAAATTGTGTTTTGGGGGAAAAGTGTACTATTTTTTTTTTCGCATTTTTAAAATACAGTATACATTCAGTATATTTTAAATTAGCTATGCATATTTTCTGTGATTTATTTTGATGTGAGTGTTGGTCAATTTATTGAGCATAGATTATTTCAGTGATTATTGTTAAATATGTATGCTTTGCCTATAATTTTTATTTTATTTTAGTGATAACCAAATGCCATTTAAGGTAAGTTACTCACTATAATTATTACTTTGCCTTAAACAGAAAGTATTTGTAAGTGAGGTTGTTTGTGGTAAATCTGGTTCGAAAATTTGATAAGTGTTTCTAGTGGTAATTAAACAACTTTAATTAATTGGTTATTTTATTGTACATTGTTTATTTAAAAATTAATATTATCTAGGAATAAGCAGTCAGTATGATACTGAGGTTTTTCTGTTCTTCTGCTGTAGCATAATCCTCTATCTTCAACATTATATTTTGTTTACTAGGAATGAGTGTCACTTTTTAGAAATGTTGCTTTTTTTTCTGTACAGAATATTCTGTGATTCATGGTAACATATTTGTTTCTTGCAACAGCAACAACTCACTAAAATGAATAATTAAAATTCACTTTCGTAGATTTTTTAAAATTACCATACAAAAATGGATTTGACCAGTAGTTTTGTCTTGAATGGCCCCCGTCCAAACAAACGGGGCATTTCAAAACTGTTATTGCATGTCCTTGTAAGCTCTTTATGGTTGTTACCAATGTATTACAAAAAAATAAAATATGGACATTGTCATTAATAAAATACTTCGGCTTCTTTTTTAAATGCAGTTATGTTGTCTTCTTCCTCTTCGTTCTTTATTGTAAAGTTGGATGTGCTTTCCTGTGACACAAGTATAATGTGTCATTAGAACACCCCTATGTCTTAATTTCCTGACGTCACAGTAACATGGACCATCAGTTCTGAAAAGGGTTCTTTACTAAATAAAAAATTTTCAGCATAATGAAGATGAAATAAAATCTATTCCCCACTTTTCATACAATTTTTGCTGTAGGGACGTTCTAAAATCAAGCCCAAAAATTCCCACTAATTATATTGTTTTCTTAACTAGCCAAAACGCGACAGGAAAAAATATAAAATAAACGCAAAAATATGAAATAAAATATAAAGAGTTTTAAAATAATCACACCTTTATTACACATTTTCTTGAAAATGACCAGGTGTACTAAAAAAATACAACTAGAAATATTCATCTACCTGATGTGCTCAAAGTTAAAACAATGTTAATTTTTTACTTATGCAACTTCAATCCACTCTACCATTAAAACAAAACCCTAAATTAAATGTTTTTAATTAAAAAAAAAAAAAATCACAAAAGCCCTTTTCTATGACTTAAGTAGCTGAGCAGGACAGAATGAGCTAATATGTGGGAGTTTCTAAATACCACCGGTGTAACTAAATAAGTACTAAAAGAATCCAGCATGAAAACAAATATGAACATTGAGGTTTCAAAGAAGTATTTCACATACTCAATGTACTAAAACATTGCACAGTAATAAAAACATTCACTTGAAGAAGCTTCACAAGAGTATAAAAATATTAATTTTAACAATCTTCAACAAATTAAAAAACTCAAAATCTGTATGAACCTGTACTTGTGAACACAAATACCTGTAACAATCAGCATGCCCTTATTCAAACTTTAATAAATCAACCATGGACTTAAGTTTATAAATGCTAAGTTTATTCCTATAAAGAAGGTTTAAAATAAGTTAATTATGCACTTGAAAAACATTGGTTCATTTCTGAGCCAGGTTTCCTTAATTTCTGAACATACCAAACCAAAACCAGCTATTAAAATTATGTTTTGTAACTAACATGTTTCAATAGAATGATTTGTTTCAACTATCCAGGAAATATCAAATTGAAATGTGTATAATATCAAACCTATTATGAAAAGTAACCAAATGTGCAAAATGTATTTTTAAACTGCACCATACTGCCTGTTTAAAAAAAGTAATATTTTCTTTTAACACCTTCAAGCAAAAAATGGAATTTACTAAAAGTACTCTAAATATATATATATATATTTTTAAACAGGTGCTTCTGTATACAAAAACACACTAGCCACTTTTAAGCCAAAATAAAACTTTCACTAAAACTCATTCTGACTAACCTTTTAAAAACAAATCCCTGGTTTTAACAAATAAAACTTTCAGCACTTCATATAATGATGACTCTCAGACAAGAAATCAATTCATCATTCGCACTATCAACAAAAATCAACTAAAACATGTTGGGAGCAATATAAATAAAGTGGGGGAAAACCTTTTAAATAACACTAAGTATATAAATATTTATGTGCCCGTAAGACTGTATAAATTTCTAAAATACTGTATGGCAGATGACTATGAATGAAAGATTAAAAAGGTGGGAGTCTTAAAAAGACATACCTTTAATGCATCTTTTATTTTCTGAAACTACCAACTGTACTAAAGATTTTTCATTACGATCTTGGCAACACCTCAATCAAAATGTACAGGTTAAATGATTATATCCATATTTCTTGTGACCTAGAAACACTGTTTGTGCACCAAAATTAACCATTACCAGTTTCATAAAAAAAAAATTCTTTTAAAAATGCAATATATGAAATGTTCTATTTAAAAAAAAAGTGTTCTAGTTCCACTTAAAAGATGCTCTGACCTTTAACATTTGTTAACAAAAGTTACAAATATAATAAATGGTGTCATAATCAAGATTAACTTATAAAATAAAATCCAGATAATAATCTCAGTACAGATGAATTGTGTATTTTCTAGATATAAATGGTTTTGATTGCAGTTGGTTAAAAACTAAAAAAAAAAATCAAACTACATCTAGGATGTAAAGAGCAACTCCTAAAAGTTACTGTACAGAAAGTTTAAAATATTGCCTGAAGACCAATTTTTAACAAAAGTATTAAAAAAATTTTTTGGCTAAGAAAATGGATTAAGACGAAAATGTCTTATATAATCAGATATTTAAAAAAAAAACAACCCAATAGCAAGCATTTACTAAAAAGTTATTAGAATCCTTATAAATTAAATAGATAAGTCAACACTAGCCTGCATAAATGATAATGTCTAAAGAGGGGACAAACATTCGATATAATTCTTGTGTGTATTCATATTATTTACACAATGTTGCCAGAATGAAATTGAAAAAACATAAAATGAATAATTTAGCATCCTCTACCCCCCCCAAAAAAAAATCCCCAACAATGAGCAAAATATTTTTTATAGATTACTTTGACTATATTGATACTTATCCAAACAATTTATATCAATTCTCTACGCTTATTATAATAGATGGTTATTTACTACACATTTTGAAGTTGTTCTCAATACAACGGATTTGAATTTGCTTTAAATTTTGACTGTCTTTTTTTCAACACAATAGTTCCTCCTCCCAAGACGATATCAGTCAAGCAGGTGCTTTTTTAAACTGTTTAAATTTTTTATTCTACTTTGGCACGTGGACCATGTCCATTAGTTTCTACTTCCCCATTTGACTGCTGCAGTTTCTTCGCATTGAAGGCACTGACACTCTCTTCAGTGGCTGAGGGTGAGATTGTATTTTCCTTGCTGCCTCGCCTGATGTAAGCTTGCATGTAAAAGTTACCAAAGAGGATGAGCATGGCTACCATATACCCAGCTAGAAGGTTCTGACCCCAACGTGGGAAATCACAACCCACACGGATGGAATTTACAGTATGAGTAAAGGTGATGCAAAACTGGAGCTGAAAAATAAAATGAAAATGTTTTACAATTATAAAACAATTTAGAATGAAATGATATTAAAAAGCTGTAAGTTAAATATCAACTACTTATTACACTAGAAATTAAGTCTTACTCACCAACTGAAAACGAGTGATGTATCGCTTCCACCATAATTTTTTTCTGAGTGATGGAATGGCAGAGAGACCATAATATAAGTACATTACTACGTGGACGAGACAGTTCATGCAGCTACCAAACCAAGCTGAAATTATAAGCAGTGAAAAATTTAATGTTACATAATATAAAATTAAAAAAGAAGCAAATCCTTAAAGCTAAGAAAACAAGTTAAGTTAAAAAAACAAAAAATGTACAGTTTCAAATTGTTAGGTTTTGGTTACGTAAGTTTAACCACGGAAGAGAGAGAGCAATCCTATAAAAAGTAATCGCAGGGCTAAAATATTTTCCCATAATGATGACATACTCCAAGTTATTGAAAAATATGGCCTTCAATTTAGAGACTACAACAATTAGATTTTGTAAAACATACTAATATTCAAATACATGGTAACTGATCAGTTTTTGGGAAACAAAAAAAAGAAAATTATGCCCATATCTGGTAGCCAAAAATTGCAAGAAAGTAATTACATCATCCAAAATGCTTATGCCTTGTACTTTTGTTTAAGTATAGAAGAAACACAATTATTTGTCAAATTATTTGTATTTATTGCAATAGAAGGACACACATGGCATTAATTATTGTGTGACTATAAACCTTGGCCTCAATCCCAACCAATCCTTTCATTATTGACCAGGAAGGATATTTATTTAGGAATATCAACATAAAAAAACTAGAGCTATTTCTGCATTTCTAAAACAGCACCTAAAATTAACTCAGGTTTAATATATAAAAAATTCCTTTTTCATTGAAAAATTGCCTGAAAATGTAAACAAAAAATGAGGATCAAACCATTTACTTACACATTCCCCCTGGTATAAACATCATCGTCCACCACCAGATGTTAAGCATACTAGCATGATGAAACCAATGTAAAAATGTAACTTGCTCAAACTTTTTGCGTGCAATCATGCACACAGTGTCCAAGAGCTCAATAGCTTTAGAGAAGAAGTACCACCAGAGCACTTTGGCTACCTAGATGAAAAAAAAAAGAAGGGCTATAAAAAAAGATGATTCCTACCAAACTTCGATACAAACATTCTGCCCTGCTTTGCGCTAAACAAATGTGATTGAAAAATCTCATTAGCTGTTCATATTTGGTCAAAAAGATCTCATTTTGTAGCAAAGATTTCAGCAGATCAGCATGCATCTTTTACACAACTGACTAGACTAACATGCAAAAAAAAAAATTAAAAAAAAAAAAAATTGCCTACCCTCAGTTCCTTTGGGTTAGTGATGGAATCCTTATTGTAACTGGCACACACCATGTCATATCCGGCATCCCATACACTGAGAAGGATCTGATGGAGAGGGAGAACAAGATATGAAGTTTAACAACAAACAATCATGAGTGAACTGATGGATACAAACTACTTTCTAACAACAAAGTAAATATAATATAATACTTAATACAAGAATTCATTTTTAACACTGTGCATAACAAGGTTTTGTCCTACTAGTCTGACCATTAAAGAACAAGTGTATCTTTAAACTACACAAGGGCTGTACATTGCAAGTGCACTACCACATTCTATAACCTCTTTATATAAAATGTATTATGCAACTTTTTTTTGAATTTGTACATGATAGTAATTAGGTATGTAGGAAAACATAATTTCAGCTTTAAACTCTATAAATTTGGAATTGTATTTGGAACTACATTCAACTTGGATATGCTTTTCAATGTTTACATTGTATTTTTGTTGAAACACTGGTGACAAAAATGTAAAATGTCATTTCAAAGAAAAATTGTCATGTAAGGAGCCCCACAACACAAATTTGATGTACAAATTACCTCTGCAAACATGTATATGGACAGGCCGACGAGACCCAGGTTATAAATAACCATAAACCACTGCAGAGACAATGGCTTGCGGTCACGCATAAGACGAGGGCCTAGAGCCACCATGGCCAAGTACAGGAATGTTAGAATCCATACAGGATATGGGCAGTCTGACACCAAAAACCAGTTCCTTGTCCGAGGGTCTGAAAGATACAATTAAGATACATGAACAATTGGCAAACATGTCCACAAATACTCAATTTTTAAAAAAAACAACCAAAGACAGATATTGACATAATATAACAAGTCTTAATATATGTTGAGGGTATAGAAGACAAACACATGTCCGAAAAATATGAAATAGGAGAAAACTGAATTTCAATGTTCTAGACCGTCTGTAAAATAGTGCACATTATTATGTGAACACGATTAATATTAACTGAGAATTTTACAGAAGGGCAGTATATCTGAGGATGACCAGCGTGTGGTGTCACTTATACAGCTTGCAGATCAAAAGTAACAGCAATGTAAGATTTGTCATCGCAAGCACGTTGCTTTTCAATAACCTTTTCCTAAAATGATTCCTTTTCACTTAGTTTAAGTTGATCCCATGATGGTAATAAGTCCCAAAACAGAACATTGATCTTTTTTTGGTTTAAAACATCTCAGATTGAACTCATGGGTAAAGACGTGTCTATATTTGTGCTCTTTTACTGGTTGAAGGTTCAGACATGTGCAGTAGTCGTTTCAGTAGAGTCTGTATATTTGCCATGTGTTCAGGTCTGGTGACAAGTACTATATTTTAAATTTTTTATACAGTAATGTGGCAGAACTTTTGGAAAACTGTTAATATGATTACGGATGTGTTGCGCAATATATTCCAATAGTTGATTTGGTGCTGGTCGTCCTTTTCTTTTATCAGCTCCTACGAAGGCTCCAAAACCCTGTTTTCCTGCCAATGCTGAGTAAACACTCCTTAAAGAAAATGAAATCGTTTTGCAGACTAGCTCTTGTGTTTGTATTACCATTCGAGTTTAATAAATATGCACGACTTTTCTGTTTCTTTTTCTTTCAATCTGGACTTGGGTCGCTGCTTTTTGGTAGGTTTTCTAGAACAAGGTTGCACACAAATACAACTTGGAAGAATATAATATACTTTGCAGATCTTATGCCGATCATTGTCAGATAGAGTTGCAATTGAATCTACACATTTTCTGCAATCGATTGTTTTAGGATATTTAGCAGGAACCGTCTTGCAATTTCTGGTAATGTACAACACACCATCATTGCGTGTCTTTTGTCTGATTTACCGTTTCCATTTTCAGATTCCCCTTTGCTTTTTCTCCTAATTTTTTCGTTGTTGGTATCTGCAACATTTCCATGCTCATCGCGCAGGTTCGACTGATTGAGGCTAGCAGCTGTTTCAATCTGCTTAATTGTATTTGTGGTTATTGGGTCCAGTTGGTTAATCAAATTTGGATCAAAGCTTAAAGCATCTACAACATTTGAGCCTGCTGTTAATTCATGTGTGATTGCTGAATCACTAGATTTACACGAATTCATCATTTCAAAGTACACATGGACGATCTGATTAGAGCAAGCTGTTTCAGTAGAGCCAGTTGTTAATTCATTAGCGATAGCTGAATGAACTAATTGATATGAATTAGTATTTTCAAAGTACAGTTGGACCAACTGATGAGACCCAGCTATTCCGTGTTGATCAAGGCCAACTGTTTCATTGTGTTGATCAAGGCCAACTGTTTCAATGTGTTGATCAGGGCCAACTGTTTCAGTGAGTTGATCAGGGCCAACTGTTTCAATGTGTTGATCAGGGCCAACTGTTTCAATGTGTTGATCAGGGCCAACTGTTTCAGTGAGTTGATCAGGGCCAACTGTTTCAGTGAGTTGATCAGGGCCAACTGTTTCAGTGAGTTGATCAGGGCCAACTGTTTCAATGTGTTGATCAGGGCCAACTGTTTCAGTGAGTTGATCAAGGCCAACTGTTTCAATGTGTTGATCAGGGCCAACTGTTTCAATGTGTTGATCAGGGCCAACTGTTTCAGTGAGTTGATCATTATGAAACCGTTTGGTGGCGTGGTTTGGTGGCCATCTTATTTTTGCAGTATGTCCAGTTGACGAAATAAATCACAAACATTTCTAATGCACAGATGTTATTTGTCCAATACTACATATGTGCTCTGTTGAAGTTCCTAAAAGAAAGGTACTATAATCGTGTTTTGTGTTTTATGCAATGATTGGTATCGATTTTGGACATTTTACCACTGTGCTCTAGAAGCTCATGTTCATGACTATACGAATATACACTATCATCAACTTTGAAAAAAAGTGGACATACTGTGTTTGTCTTCTATACCCTCGACATATATAATTAATGGCTATGTAAACTTCAGCACAACTGCCATATATGAACCTAATAATGCCACCCTGGAATGAGAAATTAAAAAATCAGCCAATTTGGAATATGCCAACATTACAATTTAATCTAATTTATATGCACCTAAATACAACAAGAAAAGGATTGGTTTAAAAAATTTTCTTCACTTCAGCAATTTTTGGCAATTGGAGACTTTATAAAATCCTGATACATACAGATAAAATTGATTGATAATCTCAAAATTTACAAATCAATTATTCACAGCAAAACTTTTTTATCATAGACATAAGACAACATTTTGAACTCAACCATATCAGCACTAATGCTAAGAACTAAAGAACTTAAACTATGTCAAAATACCAGATTAAAATAGGGCAAGAAACTGAATGTAGGTCGACAAAACAGCTGAGAAATATATAGCACATCATAAATGCCAAATGCTCCACAAGAAGAGCTTAAAAGGTGATAGCTTATCAAAAGTTATCAAACCTATTTTCGGACAATGTCTCAAACAAATAAGCCTACTTACAATCAAGGTAAAAAAAAAACTATGTCAGGTCAAAGTCCACTTAGTGATAAATACATGTAGCACTCACTTCAGCATGTACTATTAATTTAAAATAGCTCCCATGAAGATAAGAACCACAGAACTAACTATTTATTATAAATCTTTACAACCTTTGCTTGACACTGGTAATGTAACTTGGCAAAATAAAACACTTAGCTTTTCAGAATAAAATTTTTAAAATTACACAAACACTAAAACAATTTTAGCAGCTAGACATAACTGTAAATAAAATAAAATGCATTTTTAACTAAGGTATTGATACTCATTAGCTCAACAAGCAATGCAACTGTCTTATTTATAATATATAATAACGAGCCGACCCGCGGCATATCATATGCCGCTATTTATTTGTTGTATTTTCTACTTTTCAGTAATTCATAATTTGTGAATTCGACAGTACCAAAGCTGACACTGAAAATATTTGCTTTAAAAAACACTATCAGTATGTCGTTAAGGACAAACCACCTCCCCGTGAAAGCAGCCTTCTTTTAGTTACCTCCCCTAAGTTTAAAATTGTTTCAAACTTAAATTATCTGCCCTTAATAGCCGTCACTACGATTGTAAACATTTTGCGTGAACCACAGCTCACCAGACCATGCGGGGGTGGTAGGGACATGCTAAGAGAGGAAGTGAGGGGGCTGCCAGGCACGCTTACAGCTTGGTGTTTTCTAGGGTATCCAAGAAGAGAATTATATATATAGATTGTTCTATCTCATTGTGTTAGTTACTCTATCCTATAAAACTCAAATAGGTAAATGCCTTAATTTTAAATATCAGGCTTTATAATTGAACTACCGCTGCAGTGGTCTCTGATAAGCTTAAACATCTGTTAATGGAATTTACACCAATATTAATTTTGTAAAAATGCTATGTGTTATATTAATACTTAAGTTATTTAGCCTTGTCTTAATAACCCTCCCCCACCAATGTTCAATTTGAGTGACAAATGATGAAAAGTATACCTGCAGTTGGATAGGCTTCATCATATTGCCTCATCAGATCTTTAACAAAACTAGCCATTCCTAGGACGTCTAGAAAACAGAAAGAAAAGAGTACAACATTAACTTTCTACTACTGCAATAAAAATAAATGATTATTACTAAAATGTTTATATTGACCATGACACTAGTTAAATAGCAAACGCAGACCTTCAAAATGAAAATACTCTATTATTGTAGCTGATAATGTTGTGAGTGGAAGAAAACAGTAACCCCAATAAACATTTATTCAATTTAGCAATAAACATTAGTGGAAAGTGAGCTCAATTTATTTTAATTTATGATCTCATAATTTAATACTAACAGTGGGTTTGTATAAATAAACATTACAAAGTAGAATTGATGTTACTATAAATACTATTGGCCAATGAAACAATGGTTAAAAATTATTATATATCAAAACCCTTTATTAAAAAAATAAACCCTAACCGAAAATATTAGATGAAAGCTTAAGTTAACCATACTTGATTAATTACTAAAATATAGGCATGAACACTCTTCATAAGATTGAGTGGTGGCAAAAAAGTGTATGTGAATGCGTAGAATCTTTGGTTACACAAAATATGAACCATCAAGAAGACAAAACTTAATTAAAGATGACATTTATGATCATATAACAATGGGTGTGGGGAAATTGCGAGACGCGAAAAGCGAAATGGCGAGGCGGGAAAATGCGAGAAGGGCGCGAAAACGGTCGGTCACGTGACTTTTTTGTCTCGCATTTTACCACAAGCCGATACTTACGCTGGGTGGTGTTGAAATGCGAAGATTTCTGCGAAAAATTTACCGCACCCGATTTTCAGTGGTATTTGGTCCAGACTTCAAAGACGTTTCGTTTACATTGTTAAAACTTCCGATTTTTCCGTCGCTAGACATACTGATGATTTGTCAACTCCCCCCATATTTTGTGTCGACTTAGAATACCACCTTGTTCGAAACTGACGGAAATACCGCCGACGATAGATCAACTTCTGTCTTTTGTGTGGAACGCCGAGGCCGCCTGATTTACCGTCTTTGAAGATCGCCGTGCCCGGATCCGCTGCCACCGCAAACATATTTTCTATTGTTGCATAGAAATTTTGTATTATAGCCGCCGCCTACGATTTTTTCCTAGCTTTTTTTACCATATAAATCTAAGCACAAGCTCTTGTATCACGGTTGTGACTTTTCCGAATTTTCCCATAAATGTTATAATATTATTTATTAATTAATTGTATATATATATATATATATATATATATATAATTTATTATTTCCATAAATAAGTCAGAAAAATAACATCAAATTAAGTATGCGATTACTGCCCTATGTGAAGGTGAGGACTAGATTAACCCTCCCTTATGTGTTGCTTATTCCTAAGCTTTTATGAACTCTCAATGCCCCCAGTTTTTTTTCTCTTACTTACTGTTTGGGGAAAAAATAAAGTGACGTCACCGATATTATCAGTTGCTCGTGCTACATCGTAAGCTATGGGCCTACTTCAAATATTTTTAAAACCAAGTTGAACTTATCTGAATTTTTTGGTTTTGGTGGTGGTGTTATTTTGGGTCTTCCATAAATGACTTTTTGCAAGTACAAAAATCCATAAATAGATGTTATAATATTATTTATTAATTAATTGTATATATATATATATATATATATATATATATATAATTTATTATTTCCATAAATAAGTTAGAAAAATAACATCAAATTAAGTATGCGATTACTGCCCTATGTGAAGGTGAGGACTAGATTAACCCTCCCTTATGTGTTGCTTATTCCTAAGCTTTTATGAACTCTCAATGCCCCCAGTTTTTTTTCTCTTACTTACTGTTTGGGGAAAAAATAAAGTGACGTCACCGATATTATCAGTTGCTCGTGCTACATCGTAAGCTATGGGCCTACTTCAAATATTTTTAAAACCAAGTTGAACTTATCTGAATTTTTTGGTTTTGGTGGTGGTGTTATTTTGGGTCTTCCATAAATGACTTTTTGCAAGTACAAAAATCCATAAATAGATGTTGCAAAATATCTCTCCTGCTGACAAGATTATACCAATTCACAATGACACACCTCACGTTTGTATAAACATGAGCGGGCTAGATTTTTAAATTAATGCCGACTGAGACGGGATTTTCCTCTCGCTAACAAGAGCGGGCGATGGCAGTAGCACAGCAACGATGTTGGGATTTTTAAATAGATAGATCTAGATATAGATATATCTATCTTCTTAGTATCTAGATAAAAAAATAACAACATACAACACTCGTGTTAAAGGGTATGGCTAAATGCTCGTTTTTTTTAAAAACAAAACAAAAAAATAATTTAAATAAATAAAGATGGAAAAAAATGAAAAAAACTTTTTTCGCAAAAAGTGTCTCGCTATTTACCCTTGATTCCGCAGGTATGTCTCGCATTACCTTCTCGCATTTTCCCGTCTCGCCATTTCGCTTTTCGCGTCTCGCAATTTCCCCACACCCTATAACAATACGATCTGCCAAATTCTTATTTTTAAAACTTAAACTACAGGCCTTAATTAGTACAGTTTTAAGTAATATTCTTTATAAATTCCATAGTGGGTGGATACCTAGATTTAGATGAAACGTGTAGGCTACCTGTTTACTTATTTAGGCCTATCTATTTTAATAAAGCTGTATTAAATTTTTAAAAATACAAATATCCTCCAGCCCATTTTGATTGGGTTGTCATATAAAAATAACATTGATAATTGTAGGCCTATTGAAATGAATTATTAAAAATAGCTTACGCAACCATTTTAGAGTAACCACAAGTGACATTTTGTAATCCTAGGAATAGAATTTAAGAGAACTAGTCTTGGGGGTGAAAAAAAATTACTTTTTAAACAAAGATTCACAAATGCTTATAACCTTGACCCTCGTGGAACAGATGGTTATGCTTGCCACTTTACCCAAACTAATTTTACCGTTTGATAAGCTGAACATAAAAAAAAAATTAAATTTTGAAAATTAAACTTTCATGTACTGAATATTTGACAATTAGTCTAGGCCTATATATTTTATTTTACATTCACTAGAAATAGCTAGTCTAATAGTTTATCTGCAGACACCTAAAGAGAACATCATTAACATATTTATGGTGAGCTTTGGATAGGCCTATATCTACTCGAGTAGAAGCTTTTTTTAATGTTAACCTTTTAGCTAACTATTGATTGGTTCAAGTTTTGCGCTTATCCAAAGCTACGTCACTTCATCATGGGGTAGTGTAAAAAGAGACAGTGAGTACCACGTAGGTTCTAAATTTAAAAAAAAAATTTCCTGAAAACAAAATCGCAGGGACACATATAAAGCTATGATATGCCAAAAAATGAAAAAAAAAATTGCACGGTTACGCGCAGTGTTATTAGATCTATGACCACACTCCTGTACTTTACATCTAGATTTCTAGCCTAGTTTTATTGTGTCTTTACCAAAAATAGGTGAGTTACGTTGTTAGTAGATCTCCAGTATTGGAATGTAATTTTGAATAATTTGCGGCTAGAAATTAGAGTGAGGCTTGTAGATCTAGAATCTAGTAGGACTGGTGTTGGTTACTACCAGTAGCCTGGGCTAACTCCCTTATTTTTAATATGATTTTTCATTTTATTACCCCCCCCCCCCTCCCCCAAACAATTCAATACTAAATTAGACAATTTTGGCTTATCTAGATCTAGATCCTTATTGAAATTTTACGATGTACACAGTATAACTAGATTTCTTCTTAGTGAGGCGGAATTTACGTACGTACCCATAACGATGGATTACTAATTTAAATTAATAATCAGCATCCACTCCAGGACCAGACGAGATGAGGCGAGCGCATGAACTGATTATTGAGTCAGAAAGGACTGAGTCGGGGAAATTATTAGAAATAGGATAATTTACAAATTTACGGTGCTCACCTAGTGTGACTGTGAAGTAATGTTTTAAAATGTACACTCGTACACAATGCTAATCACACTTGGAACTACGGCGTCCTAGCCTACCAGAAAAGAAATACTCTATCTCTGACAGGCTACTATTTACCAGAGTTTAAGGTGCCGGTGCCGGTGATATTGCCAGATTTTCAAACAAAATTAAACTTCGAACCAATTTATCTTGAACTCAAGTTTGTGAGTCGAACTAGGCATTATGATTTTCAACAAATATTGGATAAATTATTAGCGATTGTAAAATAAAATATATGGCGGTCACATATTCAGTCAATGAAAGTTTAATTTTTGAAATTAGCACATTTCATTATTAGATTTTGCAGTATTTTTGTAATGTTCAGTTTATCAAACGGAAAAATTAGCTTGGCTAACTGGCAAGCCTAACCGATCGGACCATCTGTACCACGAAGGTCAAGGTTATAAGCATTAATGAATCTTTGTTTAAAAAGTTTTTTTTCATCCCCAAGACTAGGACCGCGACCCGTATACGCTCGCATGTTAAGATTTTTTCGTTCATCACTCCCTTTTAAATATATTTTCCTGATTTTACGGCCACATATTCATTCTAGATCTAGATTCTCGTCTAGGCCCGTTGTGTTTTTTTTTTTTAATAAAATAAATAATCAAGAAAAAACGGATTTTTAACACTACAATAAATCTAAAGTATGCCTATAGATTCTTCTCATCTATAGTGTTTTTGTTTTTTGTTACAATGTGATCAATGGCTTACCTACCATGAAGCCTAACCCCGTAATGCGATATGGGTGGCGTTAAGTGTGTGTGGAGGGGGGGGGGTCTAAAAAAATCCTACCAATCTGTATATATAATGTCTGCGGATGTCTGGCTTTTTCTTTAATGGAAATTCAAATGCCTGAACGGATCGGGTTCATTTTTTTTTTTTTGGCAGACTCGTGCATTATAACACTAGGAGTGTTAGCGCCCACTTTCTGAATAAATTCAGTGAAATTTCAAATTGTTTTAAGTTGTTCAAATATTTGCATAGGCCGTATAGGCGACCTCATTTCCGCCATGATATTTTTGCGCGTTCAGCTTCGAAGCAATACAGCATCCATAGAACTTAGAACTTTCTAGATCTATAAAGAATGTTTACATTTACTATTTTATTATTTATCATTCTGAAGCAGAAATCGAGATAAAGATATTTAAAAATAAAATAATTAAAACTGTATAAGTGAAAAAAAAAGTTTATCTTAGGATATATATATATATATATATATATATATATATATATATATATATATATATATATATATATATATATATATATATATATATATATATATATATATATATATATATAAAATTCAAATGCCTACTAAAACTGCATCGTTAACGTCAGTTATTTTGCTCCATAAGGGCACAGAAGAAAAAAAATCCGCTACATGCATTATTAAAGACGATTATAATAAGCACATTCTTAGCTAAAGATATTTGCTTGAGGTGTACAGTTATGAATGGTATTAGAATATCGCAGTGGTACGAGATTACGTGTGTTGCGAAAGGATTTGCATACATAAAAGATGCTGAGTTTATGACGTGGTAAGCAAGAATGTGAAGTTTAAGTGTAGTATCGTTGTTGCCGTGGAAGGAGGTTAGAGCAGTCTCTGTCATATTAGAAATTGGGAGACGACACGGCGGGCTACCATAAATGCCATAATCGTCCACTAATATCAAATCGGGCTCGTCCTTCGGCGACTTGTGATGTGTACTTTGGCTCCGTGTTCATTTTACAACTTAACGTTTTCATTAAAGTTAAGTGCAATAAACTAAATTAGCCTACATTTATTATCCGTCACAAAAATTATTTTACCTAATAAAATGTACAAAATACTTCCCTTTGCGTGGTATTAAAAATTAAAATATCATTAGAAAACAATTTCAAATTAGTGTTTGTGTTTTTGATTGTTCGGTTTACGTTTGCGTTTATGTTTAGTTTGAGGTTGTGGTGAGGGTTAGGGTTTATGTTTGTGGTTGAGGTTGTGGTGAAAGTTAGGGTTCGTGTTTATGTTTGCGTTTATTTTTAAGGTTTTTGTGGTTGTTTTTTTTTTAGGCGCATAAGTATGGGTAGGGTAAAAAGTTTATGTTTGTGGATGTGGTGATGTTTTTGTTTATCGTTATGTTTGTGGTTGAGTTTGCAGTGAGGGTTAGGGTTAAGGTTAGGTTTTTTTTGTGTTTCTGTGGATTTTTTTAGACGTAGAAATGCAAGGAGAGGAGAGAGATTAATTTAAAATTTAATATATTCCCAAAAACCGGGCATAGACGGGTATATAATGATTAATAAATTATGGCCCTTTACAGATAGGTTTCGCACAAAAGCCAATGAGAGCCTAGAAGGCTAGTACTTAATAATTTTTAATACAATAGAATTGCATGACTAAAAACAATTGCACATTAGATGAACAAGAAAAATGTGCATATAATTGAGCGGAAAATAGTACTTTATATAGGAAACTAATTAATTCTAAAAAAAATCAATTAAGCATCCAATTGCAGATTGCATTATCATAGGGTCTTGACCCAAGTGCCAAGTTGCAGAAAAATTGGTCGGTTAGCATCGGTTATAATTTTGCTCGACAGATACATGATGAAACACGACAAAAGCATAACAGAGGAAGCAAATTAAATTTGTAAAAACGGTTTAATAATAAGCTCTAACGCAACAATGCACTAAATAAAAGGAGAAAATATTTGATTTTCTTTAAATAAAGAGTGATTAACTATTATATAAAGAATTAAAAAGAAAAGCGTGGGTTGCTATATTATGTATTGAATACCTTTACTAGAAGTTAATAAGCTACATGAAAAACTTAATAGACAAAAATAGGTGCTCGCCTATTTTTGTTGCTAAACCCGGTTTATATTATTTTATTATTTCTTTAAAGTTTCTGTAAGCTCAGCTACTTTGAATCATACACATAGTTTATTTGACATATTTTGTTTTTGTGCTGAATCTAAAATCATGCAGAGTCTTCTCGCTCTGATAGCGACCTTTATACATAATCCGATTTTACAAGCTTTTATTTAACTCACTTCCTCTGTCTATCTGTCTGTCTAGATCGAAACGCCCGTGTGAAATTGCATGGCACTTCCAACTGACAGGTACAGTTCTTAGTTGGTAAGTGGGTCAAGACATGAAGACAATGCATTGTGACATTCAATTTGACTTAATTGGTCGCCTAATTAATTTTTTATGAATTAATTAAAATTTGGACCGAATTAGTAGGCAGTTCTATCCACACACGTCATCACGGCCGTGTTGGGCGTGGAGCGAGGGGGGCTCTACGTTAAAAGCGTGTCATCACGTTCAATAGGCGGCGCGATGGTTTTTAGTCGTGTCAGCAGTCTAGTTCTTTACCACTAGACTGCGCCATCCCATAATACTTTACTGAAACTTTAGCTATAATCTTGACAATGGTTTTTAGTCATGTAACTATTGTAAATAAAACATGTAAAGTACTGAAAAAAAATTCATAAAAAAACGTTTTAATAACAAGCTTTTATGTAATAATGCACTAAAAAGTAGAAAATAAATTATACACTACTATTTAAATCAGAGGCGTAGCAACCCTTCCCGGCGCCCGGGGACAAACTTTTCGATTTGCACCCCCCCCTCAAGATTTCCATTTGCACCCACCCCCTCAAATTTCCGATTTGCACCCCCCTCAAGATTTCGATTTGCACCCTCCCCCCCCCCCCTCAAACTTTCAATTTGCACCCCCCTCAAACCTTTCAATTTATTTTTCCAACCCATTTTGGCGCCCCCTAAGGTCTCTTCTCAAATGTTAGTAAAGGTATCCAATAGGTATTTAAGTGACCCACGCTTTTCTTTAAAGCTTGTTATTGAAACGTTTTTTTACTTTCTCGTATATACGAAGTATAGAGAAAGTATTGTAATCGTGCACAAAAATCACTTGAAATTTTAACAATTTTCACCGTATTACACCTCAGTCCTTCATCACATCCGAAGTATAGAGGACTTATTTTAATCGGGCAAAAATTATCAATCCAGATTTATCAAAATTAAGAGGTTGTATGTATAATCCAGTCTGAAAAACTGGGCTTTGCAATTCTGTCCGTATGTCTGTGTGTCTGTCTGTCCGTGTGTAAACACGATAACTTGAGTACCGTTACAGCTAGGTTGATGAAATTTCATATATAAGTAATTTATCGAAATCGTAGATCCGTATTAACTTTTGAACGATTTCCGATAACCGGAATGGGTACTTTTTCTACTTTGAATTTTTCCAAAGTCTATAACTTGAGTACTATTTCAGATAGATAAATGAAATTTCACATGTAAGTAAAAGATCTAATTCTCTACCTTCTGTTAAATTTTGAGTAATTTCCATTGACCGGAAGTAGTAATTTACGCTACTTCCGATTTCTCAAAAAACTAATGTAAATTTTTAAGGTGCTAATAATTTTGCGCACTATTATGCACTTTTTTATGTGGCGTTCACTCGGTGTGCAGTACTTTTGTCTACGAGATTTTATTCTTTTTTTTTAAACTTTAAGTATTTAAAATGGATTAAAATAAACCGGGAGTGATCTCCCCTAAACTTTCTCGAATATTCTTATATAAAACAACAGGGGATGGGAACTCGGGCTATAGACATGATTTTTAATCCATTTTAAATACTTAAAGTTTTTAAAATAGAATAAAATCTCGTAGACTCGTAGACAAAAGAATTGCACACCAAGTGAACGCCAAATAAAAAAGTGCATAATGGTGCGCAATATTATTAGTACTTTAAAAAATTGCATTAGTTTTTTGAGAAATCGGAAGTAGCGTAAATTACTACTTCCGGTCAACGGAAATTACTCAAAATTTAACAGAAGGTAGAGAATTAGATCTTTTACTTACTTGTGAAATGTCATTTATCTATCTGAAATTGTACTCAAGTTATAGGCTTTCGAAAAATTCAAAGTAGAAAAAATACCACTTCCGGTAATCGGAAATCGCTCAAAAGTTGATACGGATCTACGATTTTGATAAAATACTTATATATGAAATTTCATCAACCTAGCTGTAACGGTACTCAAGTTATCGTGTTTACACACGGACAGACAGACAGACACACAGACATACGGACAGAATTGCAAAGCCCAGTTTTTCAGACTGGATTACGCATAAAACCTCTTTATTTTGATAAATCTGGATTGATAATTTTTGCCCGATTAAAATAAGTCCTTTATACTTCGGATGTGATGAAGGACTGAGGTGTAATACGGTGAAAATTGTTAAAATTTCTAGTGATTTTTGTGCACGATTACAATACTTTCTCTATACTTCGTATATACGAGAAAGTAAATCATGTCTATAGCCCGAGTTCCCATCCCCTGTTGTGTTATATAAGAATATTCGAGAAAGTTTAGGGGAGATCACTCCCGGTTTATTTATGAATATTTTTTCAATTACTACTTTAGCACTTTATTACTATGTCCTTCTGTCTCGCTGTCGTATTTCAACTGTCACTGGCCGCGGTCGCTAGTTCTCTCTGATAAAATATGAGTGCATGTCTAGACCTCCTCCGAAACCCTGACACTGGCTCACCGAACCCTTGGGGTTCGACCGAATCCATGTTAAGAACCACCGATATACGTAACCTATTTATATATAATGTTAGGCTACAAACAAATTGATGCAATACTAGAAAGCTTTTGACTTAAAATGTGCACAAAATGTATCTATTTTTACTTTCTCGTATATACGAAGTATAGAGAAAGTATTGTAATCGTGCATAAAAATCTCTTGAAATGTTAACAATTTTCACCGTATTACACCTCAGTCCTTCATCACATCCGAAGTATAAAGGACTTATTTTAATCGGGCAAAAATTATCAATCTAGATTTATCAAAATTAAGAGGTTTTATGCGTAATCCATTCTGAAAAACTGGGCTTTGCAATCTTGTCCGTATGTCTGTATGTCTGTCTGTGTGTCTGTGTGGGTGTAAACACGATAACTTGAGTACCGTTACAGCTAGGTTGATGAAATTTCATATATAAGTATTTTATCAAAATCGTAGATCCGTATCAACTTTTGAGCGATTTCCGATTACCGGAAGTGGTACTTTTTCTACTTTGAATTTTTCAAAAGCCTATAACTTGAGTACTATTTCAGATAGATAAATGTAATTTCACATGTTAGTAAAAGATCTAATTTTCTACCTTCTGTTAAATTTTGAGTAATTTCCGTTGACCACAAGTAGTAATTTACGCTACTTCAGATTTCTCAAAAAACTAATGTAAATTTTTAAAGTACTAATAATATTGCGCACTATTATGCACTTTTTTTATTTCGCGATCACTTGGTGTGCAATTCTTTTGTCTACGAGATTTTATTCTATTTTTAAAACTTTAAGTATTGAAAATGGATTCAAAATCATGTCTATGGCCCGAGTTCCCAACCCCTGTTGTTTTATATAAGAATATTTGAGGAAGTTTAGGGGAGATCACTCCCGGTTTATTTTTAGTGTACCCATGCTGCAGAATCTGGGACGGTGTTGCATAGAGCTAGAGAGCTAGACTGCTAACCCGAGAGTCTCGAGTTCGAGTCTGGGTTCAATTCAGTGGAAAGTCAAACCAGCCTTGATTGGTACCTTAATTATATAAGGTAAACAAAGGCGGTTGGCCATAGTGTTGACCACGCTATCCCTTCATTGGACGAGGTCTCTAAAGCAGACTAACTTTACGTCTTCTGCCTATGTGTCTTGGGCACGAATGGGTAATGATGATAATGATGCAGAAGCAATTTAAAAAAATCTATTTACTTTTGTCGTGTCGTCTATAAATGAAGTCACATGCCTATAGACAGGGGAGATTCAAGGGGTCGTCCATAAATGATGTCACACTCGTAGGGGGGGAGGGGGGGGGGGGGTCCGTAATTTTGTGATGGTGCATTATAAAAAAGCAATGTTAAAAAACGAGTTGTAGCCGTTATTTCGCGTTGTAGAAATCTGTTTTAATAAATTGTAATAGGAATTGATAAAAAATACTCTATAATGACAGAGTTCAGACAAGATTTTGGAAAAGTATCGATGTTTTAAGAAAAATTCAACTGCAATTTTGAGGGGGGTTGTAGGCTGAGGTGTAGTGTCACTTTAGGGGGGGGGGGGGGAGGAGGTCTGGCTTTTTGTGACGATGTGTGACGGAGAGGAGGGGGGGGGGGAATTGTCAAAAAAGTATGATTTCATTTATGGATGACCCCCTAAACTAATATTACCGTTTGTTACGCGGAAGACAGGGATCTATAGTTTCAATAAAAGTTACTTTGCTTTAGCTTCTGTTTTCTTATTGATGAAAAAAAAAACATTAAGGTTTCATAGGAAAATCGTAGTTTAAAATAAAAGTTTATGGTAAACATTCAGGTAATTTTCCAGGGGAATGTTTTCTGTCCTGCGGGCAGAGGCGTAGCGACCCTTCCCGGCGCCCGGGGACAAACTTTCGATTTGCATCCCCCCTCAAGATTTCGATTTGCACCCCCCCCCCAACCTTTCAATTTATTTTTTCCAACCCATTTTGGCGCACTCTAAGGTCGGCGCCCGAGGACATATGTCCCCCCTCGCTACGCCTCTGCCTGCGGGTGACGTTAAGGATAGGTGTCTGTGCCATGTTAACAGTAAGACATTATCGTGTGATTGATGTAAGCCGTCAACAGGTACCAGCTAATGGGAATGACATTCCTTTTCAGATAGCAGTTCGACAAAAAACTAATCTGCTTAACGAAAGCATTGCAATGACATTTTATAAATAATTAGCTTTCGTGGCGAGGTAAAAAAAATATACCATAACATTGTATGGGGTAACATATTTATGGGGCTGTTATTTAAGGGACGTTACGTTATTGGCGAAGATTCCGCCTTTCGCAAACTACATCATGCTTAAACCTTCCCTTTTCATCAAATCAAGTTGCATTGTATGCTTTAAGCTTTGACAACATTTAACACTTACTCTTTAAAATTAGGAGTAGTTAGACAGGGATATTTAGATTGCAGATTGTTTATTTTTTATTTAAATTTTATAAATAATGTCTTCTTTAAGCAAAATATATGCGAAAAATCAGTTTTTACAATCTCTGTTGAAAATTCAAGTGTGACGTAATTTAAAAAACAAAAAACTTTTCCATTTCGTCGCACATCGACACAGTCGTCCACCCGATCATCTTTTTTTTTTCTTCTACAGTAATTATAGTCTTCAGCAACTTGATAAGACAGGATGTTGTATCTTCAAGATATTTTACTCCGGGGGTTAGGGGCATTTAAACATTTAGGAGGGGGGGGGGGGAGGTCGGGCGCACTTAAAATTTTCCTGGAGGTGGATACAGGTCAAAGTATATATATATATATATATATATATATATATATATATATATATATATATATATATATATATATATATATATATATATATATATATATATATATATATATATATATAATAGAAGATATTTCAGAACAAACGTCAAAGAACAATTTCTTGATAACTGCAGGTTTTAATTATTCAACCAAAATGTGTATTGGTTCATCCATTCGAATACAAATAATTCAGTATTTAGATAATGAAAAAAATAAAATTCTAGCAATGTTTTAAGCGTTGGCGTTGGAAGTGCCCAGTAGGAAACCAGAGAAAGTGTTGATCACGTGATGCTCCTCTCCGTACAGACTACCACAGTTGGAAGCTTCAACAAAGACCTCATCACCAGCCTCCAACAGCAGCACTGCGGAGTTGGCTGATAAGAAAAAAGTTTTATGAATTCATTTTTTAGGTTCTAGATAGTTAACAATTTATGTACTTTAAAATATAAACGTATAAAAAAATGCGTTATATATTCTAGATTAAAGCCAAATTTATTGCTATATTTTTTTTTCAAATCGCGTAACTTATTGCATGGCTATTTTTAACACGCTTCACTAAATCAAGTGTAGGATCTAGGTGATGGGATTGGAAGATTCAGATTCGAATTGCAATAGCTAAACGTCGACCTACCAGCGAGGGACAACTCCTGATTTGTACTGCTGTACAGGGAGATAACTCTTGTTTTGTTTTTAACAAGAGACAGACTCAGTTCTATCCCTTCGCCAGCAGCGCCGTGAATTTGGAAGAAGTATACACCTGCCTGTATAGAAATTTTATTGTATGATATGAAGCTACGGTTGGGGATGAACGAGTCAGATTCGTACACATAAAGAAATAATAGGCTTGAAAAGTCTATGTAATCATACTAAATATTTGAAAATATCTTTTTAAAAATATGGCAAGCCATAAAATTATAGTTACATTTTAAAAATTTAAAAAAGAAGCTGTTTGGGAACCATCAATTTTCCTATTTTTGGATTTAATATAAGCCGCTGAAAACCCGTTTTGGATTAGATTTTTCAATTCAAATATTTCTAAGAACCGCTAAATTACTAATATATTATTAGTAATTTTTTGTTTGAATATTTCAAGCCTTAATAAAACCGTAAGTCATTTTGTACTTATTACACAATTGCTATAAAATATAAAATTTTAGTTGAAAAATATCATTTCTGAAAATATTTGGAACCAGCTTTTCAAGCCTATTATTGTGTAAAAAAATTGGAAGTAAACAATTGTAGTTCACTTCTACTTACGATATCAACCTCGAAATATTCTCCGTGCATTGTCACCATTTGTCACTGATTTTTTAAATAACGGAATATATCTTAGCTATCGTAAACCATTTATGTTTTATAATCAAACATACAAGTTTATCTAGGTAATTTTAAACTTGTAAGTTAAAACATCATTTAACTAAAGTTTATAGTAATTCCCCACTTACTATGTTGCATCTGAAAACACCAGTACTGTTGTTATAGTCGTCTCCAACATTAGATACAACTTTGTTATAAACAATGACATCATGCAATAGAACATCCAACTGTTTTGATAACCCGACTGTGAATGCGACCAATGCAGGTTGTATGAATTTGACATTAGATTCCCGTGTATCTAGCACGATAGGTTGTGGTGATGTCAAGTCTGCTAAGGTGAAAATAATTATGTGAAGACAAGATAGCTATAAAATAACAAACACATTAAGTTATGAAATGTTACCAAAAGATGAATTACAGTGCGCTAAAAACATTGTAATAATTTCGTAACGACACATAAATATATTAATTCATTACAATAGCTACAATAAAACAAATATCTGAGTGTCATGAATATAAATATAAAATGGTGAGTCAGATTTACCAAGTGTGTAGCTAGAAGACCTTCCAGCTTTTGGCACGTCGTCATCTATAATGACTTCAGTTGCTGATGGTGTCGATGTGGCAGTTGTTGAAGGAGTCGTTGTAATTGTTGACGGGGTCGTTTTTGTTGTTGATGGGGTCGTTTTAGTTGTTGAATTGGTCGTGTTAGTTGTTGATGGGGTCATTTTAGCTGTTGAAGACGTTTTAGTTGTTGATGGTGTTGATGTAATGGTTGATGGGGTCGTTGTAATTGTTGACGGGGTCGTTTTTGTTGTTGATGGAGTCGTTTTAGTTGTTGATGGGATCGTTTTAGATGTTAATGGGTTCGATATTAAAGTTGTTGATGGAGTCGTTGTAATAGTTGATGGGTTGTTTTTTGTTGTTGATGGAGACGTTTTAGTTATTGGTGGTGTCGTTGTAATTGTTGATGGTGTCATTTTAGTTGTTGTTGGGGTCATTTGAGTTGTTGATGGGGTCGCTTTAGTTGTTGCGGTTGTGATTTTAGTTGTTGATGATGTAATTTTAGTTGTTGATGGGGTCGTTATAGTTGTTGATGAGGTCTTTTTAGCTGTTTGAGACGTTTTAGTTGTTGATGGTGTTGATGTAATTGTTGACAGGGTCGTTGTAATTGTTGATAGGGCTGTTTTAGTTGTTGATGGGGTCGTTTTAATTGTTGATGGAGTGGTTGTAATTGTTGATGGGGTCATTTTAGTTGTTGATCGAGTCGTTTCAGGTATCTTGGTTGTTTCTGTAGAACATAAAAGTTGAACCTATGTAATAATTGGTTAAGTTAGACTGTGGGTAACAAAACAAAACAGACAAAGAAATTCAAAACACTTATTCAGTCAGGATAGTAATGGGAAAGGGATCCAATTAAAACGATTTTCCAGATTGAAACATTTGCGTGTTTCTTTCTGATTTTTTACTTGCTTGTATATGAAGTGTGGAGGAAATATTGTAATGGTGCAAAAAACTATTTTTGCTATTTTGTCTGTGTGTTTGTGTTAAATGTGCAATTTCATTTATAAATTTATTGAATCGTAATCACTGACACACAAACACACCATAACCTGTTATTGAAAATCCCGTTTAAAATTTGATAAAAAACTGCGCATACAATGTAAAACTTAAATGTTCAATTTCATTTATAAATTTATTGAATCGTAATCACTGACAGTTTTACATTGTATGCGCAGTTTTTTATCAAATTTTAAACGGGATTTTCAATAACAGGTAATGGTACGTTATCGTATTTCCTTTGAAGCACACTAACGTGAGTGCTGTTTTATTTAAGTCAACGAAATTTCATATAGATACACGATCTAATAGCCTACATGGATTGCTTTCAATTTCCGAAAGACCCTCAATATCCGGAAGTGGTTCCGTACTCTTTATCTGGTTTTTACAAAACCGATTGCAGGCAGGTGGACGACATTTTATACTAGTATAAGATCTTTTTCATTGGTTTTTGACCACCTGAAGTAGTACTTTACACTATTTCCGAATTATCAAAAACCATTAAAAAGGAATATATTTGTCTTGATTCCTCTATTTTTGAACGAAAGCTTGAGAGCAATATTTCAACCAATATATATATATATATATATATATATATATATATATATATATATATATATATATATATATATATATATATATATATATATATATATATATATATATATATATATATATATATATATATATATATATACATATATATATATATATATATATATATATATATATATATATATATATATATATATAAATTAATGAGTTATTACCATGCACTTCCATGCAAATGAAAGAGTGCTTTTCAGAACAAGGCGAATCATTTAGCTTTCCAAGACCATTCGATTCAAGGCAATGTTCATTTCCATTGAGGTTGTTGGGTTCTTTGTTGTTCCACATTGATGTTAGTTCAGCCTTTGTACCATCTGTCCACACCCAATTACCTTCTTGTAGCATGTCATTTGCTCCAAGCCACGCATCTGTGTCAAAAATCACTACATCATACACGCTGATAGATTTAAAGAGAAAGTCCGCTACTACATTTAACAACGCCATAAAAAAACTAACCTTCTACTTTCTCGTATACAGAGTACATAGGAATTATTGTAATCGGGCTGAATAATTAACATATTTTGACAGTTTTTGATGCCAAACACCTCCCCATTTTATCGTATGCTGAACATAAATGAAGTGTCATTAAAAAAAAATCGAGATATTGAACAATTTTGACGTTTTACCATTTAGAAACGGAAAAACTTAGCAATGTCCGTGTCTGTCTGCGTGTACGTGAATTCTATATAATAGTTTCGCTGTCTGTGTATCTATCTATCTATCTGTCTATGTATCTATCTGACAAGAACGCTCTAGAGAAAACACAAGCAATTTAAAAACTTCCACAGTGAAACGAAAACGAAATATGACGTCATTTAGCATATAGAGTCCTTGCAAACACGTGACCTAAATCACGTGATACCTACGCCCGCCGCCACAGTGGTGTACATCAGACGTAAACACAATCAGCTGTTCGCCAGCGCTGGACGTGTTCACCAGCGCTGGACGTGTTCACCGTATGTAAAGAATCGCGCCCGCGGAAAAGGAAAAATATGTTAAAAAACTTCAACTCTTAGGAATTGAAGATCCTTATACAGTTATTGACAGTTTCGTGGATAATATAAATATGTGGCCGAAATTTCTAAATAAAAATACTGTTAGTAATACCGTTTGCGTTTAGAGTTTAAGTAGACGAAGCTGATCAAATGCAGTAATATATTATAGGTTATCTACTGTAGCGAACGTGAGACCACTTAACTCCTACAAAACCCACACTACAACGGCTAATATAATCCATGGGTAATAACCAATCTGGGTAGCATGTTATACTATTTAAGACCCTTATAATCCAGCAGGGAAGTAATCAGACACATTAATACTGACATTCAACCCTCATGATGGCTGCCCCCACCTGTATCTAGCCCACAATAAAACCAAAGAGGAGTCTGCCCTGCCCTCCCCTGAAAATGTCTCACCTCCGTGATACCCAGCCCCACAGAGATAGTATTTCTTATATAATTTTGACCCTCAGGGCCCAGCAGGGAGAACAAAGGGGAAAGTCCCACTGCTCTCCCCTCAACACTTCTCACCTCGGTGTCATGTTATGTCATTTATAGCACACATGGCTTATCAGGGGAAAGCATTAAGGCATTAAGAATCTTAACTCTGGACAGCTACACACTAGTATACTAGCTACACACTAGGTGCCTACTGTAAACTACTAGACTGTAGGCCCTATGTAGACCTGCAATTGTATCAATTGTAGACTGGGTCCATTGTTATTATTCTAAACCATCTCACTTATAATGTTTCTAGCTTGATTTGTTTCTTTTATAAACAGTGGATTTAAAAACAAAAATTAGCCTAATCATTAACCAAATAATAATAATGTGGTTATTTGTTGTTGGCTGGTATGATCTAGATTGTACTACTAGGCTACAAAAACTTAGTAGACCAATTACTAGATATGAATTTGAATTTAATTAAACTCAGTCCAGTATCAGATACATATTGCTGTAAAAAGACAACAAAGTAGGTAGGCCTTAGTAATTTATTAAAGCCTTCTACTACAATAATATCAACTACATACTTGTATAAAGTTTTTACAATTTAATTTAAGTAGCAGATTCTAGATCTAAGTCTAGTCATACAATCTATTTCAATTTCAGAAAATTTCGTTTGCTAAAAAAATGATTAGATAATAGAGCGAGATTTTAGATCTTAGAGACAATTAAATGCTTTATTAGGCCTATTATGACTACTTTTGATTTATTATGGGTGTATTTTGAATCGAATGTAGATCTAAAGTAATTAAATTTAAGTAAAGAAGTAGATTCTAGATTCTATGTCTACCCAGCGGAGCCAGGTATTAGGCCTACTATTAGATCTTATTATTCTTATTATTACTTTTGACTTTGTCTTTTACTATTAGTATTTGTGAAGGTCGAGCATATTTGTTTTATTAATAGTTATCTTTTATAATTAAAATGAAGTTTATTATTTTACTGTCCTTACCTGAAACAAAGTATCGAGAACTGCATTTGATCAGATTCTGCTACTTTAACTCTAAACGCAAACAGTATTACTAACAGTATTTTTATTTATACGAAACTGTCAATTACAGTATAAGGATCTTCAATTCCTAAGAGTTCAAGTTTTTTAACGTATTTTTCCTTTTCCGCGGGTGCGGTTCTTTACATACAGTGAACGCGTCCAGCGCTGGTGAACACGTCCAGCGCTGGCGAACAGCTGATTGTGTTTACGTCTGGTGTACACCACTGTGGCGGCGGGCGTAGGTATCACGAACGGACGTGACGTCATATGAAAGGACTCTATAGAAGAAAATAATATCAAGCCGGAGAGTGCACACAGTAATATGACGTCATTGATTCTCGAGTAAACATTGAATTTAAAAAGGCAATTTTGTCTAATCTTAAAAGTGGTTTGCCTGAAGAGTTTCATTCATACAAATCTTCGGGTAGGGGCGAAGCCCCACCCTCGAGAATGAACGTCTAAGCCGCCCCCCCCCCCCAACTAAAAAGAAATGTCGTCATTGATACTCTATAATAAAATTACCGCCTAATTAATGTGTCTAATCTAAAAAGTGGTTTTCTTGCAATTTCTTTAATGCAATTCTTCGGGTAGTGGCTAAGCGCGACACCAGTGTTTCTTTCAGACTTTTTCCTCTCCGAAGGGGGGAATTTTTTCTAATCTAAAAAGTGTTTAGCTTGCAGTTTTTTTTCAAGCATCGCTTCCGGTAGGGGCGAAGCCCCGCCCAGATTCTTCCATCAGTTTGTATGATCTACAAATGCGACCAGTGTTTCTTTCAGGCTTTTTCCTCCACGGAGAGGGGTGGGGTTACTTGAAATTTTCGGGGGCGGGGGTAGAATTTTCTGGGAGGGGGCGGACAATGGAAAAAAAGTATATAATTATATTTCGTTGAATGGGAAGGTAGACATGTTTTGGAGTGTATGTGTGGGGGGAGGGGGGGGGGGCGAAGCCCCCTCCTCCCAAATAGAGTTGCTTGAAAGAAACTCTAAATGCGACTTTTGTCATGAATGAGATTAGGTGTATGGTTTAGGGATATGCCTATGACTATATTTTGTATAAATTAAAGTACCGAGAAAATAGACAGCACTATCAACCTAGCGCCCGTTGTATATTTCCTCAACGGGCCATTTTTCTCGTCTGTAATAATAGTTTCGCTGTCTGTGTATCTATCTATCTATGTATCTATCTGACAAGAACGCTCTAGAGAAAACACAAGCAATTTAAAAACTTTCACGGTGAAACGAAAACGAAATATGACGTCATATAGTAAAAAATAATAGCAAGCCGGAGAGTGCACACAGTAATATGACGTCATTGATTCTCGAGTAAACATTGAATAAAAAGGCAATTTTGTCTAATCTAAGTGGTTTGCGTGAAGAGTTTCTTTCATACAATTCTTCGGGTAGGGACGAAGCCCCACCCCCGCGTAAGAACGTCTGAGCCCCCCCCCCCCTTCCCCAACTCAAAAGAAATTTCTTCATCGATACTCTGTAACAGGGGTCGGCAACCTTTTGAAGCGGAAGAGCCAAAAGTTACAATTTTCAAAATTTCCCTAGTTTTAAGGAGCCACTAACATTTTTTTTTCATTTCAAATATTTTATTTTTTTATTAAGATTATTAGTATTTGTTCAAGGAGCTGGAGAGTCGCATCTTGATATCAAAAGAGCCGCATGCGGCTCGCGAGCCGCAGGTTGCCGACCCCTGCTCTATAATAAAATTACCGCCTAATTAATGTATCTAATCTAAAAAGTGTTTTTTTTTGCAATTTCTTAATGCAATTCTTCAGGTAGTGGATAAGCGCGACACCAGTGTTTCTTTCAGACTTTTTCCTCCCCGGAGGGGGGAACTTTTTCTAATCTAAAAAGTGTTTAGCGTGCAGTTTTTTTTAAGCATCTCTTCCGGTAGTTTGTATGATCTACAAATGCGACCAGTGTTTCTTTCAGTCTTTTTCCTCCCCGGAGAGGGGTGGGGGTACTTGAAATTTTCGGGGGCGGGGGTAGAATTTTCTGGGAAGGGGGAACACTGGAAAAAGTATATAATTATATTTCGTTGAATGGGACGGTAGACATGTTTTGGAGTGTGTGTGGGGGGGGGGGAGAGGGGGGAGGGGGCGAAGCCCCCTCCTCCCAAGTAGAGTTGCCTGAAAGAAACTCTAAATGCGACTTTTGTCATGAATGAGATTAGGTGCATGGTTTAGGGATATGCCTACGACTATATTTTGTATAAATTAAAGTACCGAGAAAATAGACAGCCCTATCAACCTAGCGCCCGTTGTATCTTTCCTCAACGGGCCATTTGCAAAACGTCAAATTATAAGTGTTATATCAAATTTCTATCAACATTTGATCTATTTTACAAACTTTTATTTAACTCACTGTCTCTGTCTGTCGTCAGTCGTCAGGCCGTCTAGATCAAAACGCCCGAGCCAAATTTCGGACACTTCTAACTGACAGATTTGTTTTAACGTTGACAATCGGGTCAAGACATGACGAAAATGTAACATGGCAATAAATTTGACTTAATTGGTTGCATAATTAATTTTTTATGAATTACAATGTGGACCAAAATAGTAGGCAGTCTTACCCAACTATTCCGCACTATTATACAGGTTCATTAGATGCGCAAAGGTTTTTAGTCATGCAACTCTATTGTGAATTTAAACAATTTAAAGTAGTGGAAAAAAGTTCTTTTAAGTAATAAGTCATGAAAAAAAAAGAAAATAAATGATACACTATTTAAATAACTATATAGAAAAGCACACACACACACACACACAGGCTCACACGCACACACGTACACACGCACAAAAGCACACGCGCACACGTGCACACACACACACACACATACACACACACACTCACACAAAGGCCTGTAACGCCCATCCCTCCAAAGGGTCATAATATTTTTTTAAAATTTTAATTATGGCATACCTTGAGTATTACTTGGTTTTAAAGAATTGAGAAATGACAACACTGAATGTGAACCAACTTTTGCCAGGCTCCTTTTTCCATTGAATCTCAAGCAATGTTCCTTTAGAATAAATACTTTAAATGTATTTTCTAATATTTGATACTTTTATTATTTATTTAAATACAGGTAACTGACGATAGTTGAGCTATAAAATAAGATATTTTGTAGTTATTCAAAAATGTCAAATATATTGGCTGTTGTCTTGATGCTAAATGTATCCAACTAATTTAAATCACCTGTGCTTTACTCCAAGGCAGAGGTGTTTTTATTAGCTCATAGCAGTTGTTTTCAAATTCCTTAGCTGTTTGGCTGATGCACCTACCTGGCGTTAAAGAATAAAATACTATTAAGAGATCTCAATCGTTATTTAATTGCAACATTAAAAAAAACTATGGGACGGAGTGGTCTAGCGGTAGAGAGCTGGACTGCTAACCCGTAAGTCTCGAGTTCGAATCCGGGTTCAAGTCAGTAAACCGTCCCTGAGTCCACCCAACTCTGATGGGTACCTAACTCACGTTAGGGAAAGTAAAGGCGGCTGACCATACTATCTCTTCATATACCGAGGTCAAAGAAACACTTGACTCATAGACCGTCAGGTTTGAAAGGGAAACTTTATTAACAAAAACTACATCTTTTACGGTTATAATCGTGTTTTTTTTTCCCCGGTTAATTTAACAAATTGTCTTAAGATTATAATGTACTTGATAAATGGCCATTTAAGGGAGAAAAAAATCTGAAAGAAACCCTATCTGCATGATTGAGGTTTAGCGGCCAAAAGTAGGAAACGGGTCTACATAATAGAAGTAGAGCCTCCCTAAGTGTGATGACGCAAGATTACGTCAGACATGTTTAGCAGATATAGGTTAGCAGAAACAGACTATAGGCCTAGTTGGTTGGTTAGAGAGGCCAATGGGCGCACAGGGCTGACCGGTCACGTGGGACGGTCAGCTGACCACTGAGGCGTGGGGCAGTAGAGAGACGGCCGAGAATGTAAATAGTTAGGAGATCATGATTAGCTAGCGAAGGTAGAAGGTGTTAGGTAGTGGTTGGAGACGGTTGTAATTTGCAGAGCTACGGAACAGTTGGTTAGTGTTAGGATTGGTCATGGGAGTGCGTAGTAGTAGGTAGCATGTTGTATGAACAGTCAGTAGTAGAAGTAAATAGTACAGTGTGGATCAGTTAGGTAGAAACTTGAACATATATATCATTTTAATAAAGAACAATTATAGTTGAACTTGAACTGTGTGTTGTTGGATTCATTCGTTCCGCCTTTCATAAAATCCCCACCCTCACAACTGGTGGAGCGCGGGTCGAGGACAGGAAAGAAAGTATATCAGCTACTCATGACGGAGTACATCTGGTGTACAGCTTTCTCTAACTCATCACAAAGCGGACTTCTTCAGTCGGAACGAGTTTGGAACACAAGGGAACTGTCACCATATTCACAAAGATAAGTACCTTCCAATATTTTTTTTAAACGTTTGGGTTTATACCCGTGCTGGATAGTTTGTACCAGTGGTTTTTCTGCCTTACACATTCTGTTGTTACGCTCTGTTGCCTTAGTTTTGTTTACTTTCCTCAACACACACACATACACATACACAACCATGGAGGCAGAGTTTCAATGCTATAAACAGGGCATACCATTAGACAAAACCGGAGAAGAAGTTGAAACATTTGTAGAGAATAAGTTGAAACATTTGTAGAGAATAAGTTAAGAAACAAGATAGTCAAGATAGTAAGAAATGTCAAGAACAAAAGCATAGTTAGCATTAGAATCAGTGAAACAAATAGATAACACGCAACTGCCCAAGAACATCAACCCCATGACCAGGAATTTGACCCGGACCGCCCCCACAAATGATTTTGAACAACGGACAAAAGTGAAGTCAAGTCGAGTTTTTGTGTTGATCTAAGTAGTCGAGGAAATCGACGTGAAGTCGATACAAGTTGAAGTCAGTGTAGTCAATCTGAAGTCAATAGTGTTATTGAAGTCAGTGAAGTATAAGTCAGAACTGAAGTCAAAGAGGTTATTTGAAGTCAGTCAAGTCAGTCAATAAGTTGTTGAAGTCGTAGTTGAGGTCATAGTGACGTAGTTGAAGTCATGTTGCAGTCAAAGAAAAGTCTTTGAAGTTATATTACAGTCGTTGAGGTCATAGTGAAGAAGTGAAATCGTCAAAGTTATAGTGAAGTCTTTGAAATCAAAGTGATGTCGTTGAAATCATTGAAGTCAAAGTTGAAGTCTTTGAAGTCATATTGAAGTAGTTGAAGTCAAGAAAAAGTCTTTGAAGTCAAAGTGAAGACGTTTAAGTCGTCGAAGTTTAAGTCGGTCAGTGAAGTCTTTTAAGTTGAATTGAAGTGAAGTCGTCGAGGTCAAGTTAGTCTTCAAGGTGAAATAAGTCGTCATGTGAAGTCAGTCGTCAGAGGAAATCAGTCGTTAATTTGAAGTCAGTCGAGTTACTGAAGTCAAAGTGAAATAAGTCAAGTTACTGAAATTAGTCAAGTTACTGAAGTCATAAGTGAAGTCAGTCATTAAGTCATGCCAGCCAGTTTAAGTTGTCAAAAGTCAGATAGTGAGAGCTGCTCCACTATATGATTACGCATTCAAATGTTATTTGAAACGGCACGATTATTTGTATACACTTACATGTCTATTCTTTTGTGAAGCTATTTCTAAGCTCTAGTAGTGTTTACGTCTATTGAGTTTATTAGGCTTTACAGATTGTTGTTAGATTAGAGTGTACTGATTTTTTATTTGGTTAATTTTGTAATGTTACTTTTGTATGCTGTATGTACCGCCAGACAAATGTTCAGCACGTTTAATGGGATTGAGGTTTTTTTAATGGAAGGACCTCTGTCTGAATACTTGTCTGCGCGGGCACTAAATGTTCACGTAAAGCCATTGCTCATGGTCTCGTAATACAATTTCAGACCACCAACGCTTACAGAGAATGAGACGAGATGAAGCAGACACTTCAAAGAATGCCGCCACCTGAAGCCCCTGATCACGTTGAGTTACCTGGACAGCGAACAGCCTGCTGGACGTGAATAGCCCTGGTCAAGACAGCGAACGCATCGCCACCACTTCGCCCCAGCACTGGGGTTGAATAACAGACCACCAGCTACGTACATCTACGTCGGCAGATACAAAGGGTAGAAGACCCATCGTCCAAGTTCCCAGCGTCGGAACGTTACGTCATTGTTCGCCACCGCATCAGACAGCTCCAGTTCATCGTATAACCACTCTACGTGGACATCTCAACCAGCGTTGAGTTTGTTGCGTCATCACATTGACCAACGAAAGTTACGCCTACACCCGCCTCACGGGAATTTACATCAAAACTCGCCACAAACCACCCACCACAGAGGAACGCCAGCAATTACATAACACTTACACCTACACTTACACTGCTCGCTGAGCCGTTCAACCAGTTAAACATTACCACTAAGATTGGCTCAAGGCCAGTACACGACAACCTAGCCAGAACTGAGTTTCACATGATTGAATTCACACATACCATGAAACATAGACATACATTATCAAGCAGAAAAACTCAACGTCAAGATACTTACACGAGAACTAGAACAATGACATTTTTTTTTCAGGAACACAGACACAAGATTTTATGTTTTTGTAAACTGTGCTGTCCCATTTTGTATTTGATTTACATGATTGATGTTAGGGATAGAATAGAGTAGTAAGATAGATAGTTGTTGATGTATTAGATTAGTAGTAGACGCTGAAAAATATAATTTGTCAGCTACAGAAAGGGAGGGAGATATGTGATGACGCAAGATTACGTCAGACATGTTTAGCAGATATAGGTTAGCAGAAACAGACTATAGGCCTAGTTGGTTGGTTAGAGAGGCCAATGGGCGCACAGGGCTGACCGGTCACGTGGGACGGTCAGCTGACCACTGAGGCGTGGGGCAGTAGAGAGACGGCCGAGAATGTAAATAGTTAGGAGATCATGATTAGCTAGCGAAGGTAGAAGGTGTTAGGTAGTGGTTGGAGACGGTTGTAATTTGCAGAGCTACGGAACAGTTGGTTAGTGTTAGGATTGGTCATGGGAGTGCGTAGTAGTAGGTAGCATGTGGTATGAACAGTCAGTAGTAGAAGTAAATAGTACAGTGTGGATCAGTTAGGTAGAAACTTGAACATATATATCATTTTAATAAAGAACAATTATAGTTGAACTTGAACTGTGTGTTGTTGGATTCATTCGTTCCGCCTTTCATAAAACCCCCACCCTCACACTAAGTCTGTATTATCTACAAATGCGACCAGTGTTTCTTTCAAAGCTACACGAAAAAGAATGACATAAGTTATTCTAGAGTAAATAAACCTAATGATACAAGAAATAATGACGTCATCGATGCTCGATAATAAAGACTATAAAAAACGTTTTAATAACAAGCTTTTATGTAATAATGCACTAAAAAGTAGAAAATAAATTATAGACTACTATTTAAATAACTATAAAGGGCATTTGTCGCATTCGGGCAAGTGTCCATTCGGGAAAACGACCTTCGGGCAAACGGCATTCGGGCAAGTATCTTTCGGGAAAACGTCCGGCTCCCATATATACATATATATATATATATATATATATATATATATATATATATATATATATATATATATATATATATATATATATATATATATATATATATATATATATATATATATATATATATATATATATATATATATATATATATATATATATATATATATATATATATATATATATATATATATATATATATATATATGAGTACTTACCATGAGCTTCCACGCAAATGAAAGAGCGCGATGCAGAACAAAGGAAATCATTTAGCTTTCCAAGACCATTCGATTCAAGACAGTGTTCATTTCCTTCGTGGTTGTTGGGTTCGTTATCACTCCACATTGATGTTAGATTAGCAACTGTCCCATCTGTCCACACCCATTCATCTTGTTGTAATTTATCATTCGCACCAACCCACACATCTGTAAGTCAAAAATTTATATATCATACACGTTTACAAAGAAAAAGTCCGATTCTACATTTTACTACGCCTTCAAAAGCGTATTTTGCTTACACCCATGCACGGTATAGAGGAATTATTGTAATCATGATGAACTGAATAATCAACATATATTTTTACAGTTTTCGCCGTTTGACACCTCTCCACCTTAGCGTATGCAGAATATAAAGGATTTATCGCGCAAAAAATCTATAACGAGATTTTGAAATATTTTGACGCTTTATTTCCTTCCGGAACGAAAAAACTTAGCAATGTTGTCCGTGTCTGTCTATTTGAACGTGAACACGATAACTTGAGAACCGTTTCAGTATTTTGTAAATCGTCATATATTAGTATCATATCGAATTACAGTTTACTAACATCTTTTGATTTATTTTACGGTACTTCGGTTTCTCAGAAACCAATAACTAAATTACCGTTTAAGTTAGTAGGACGAATTTTAACATAGAAGTACTTTTTCGGTAACTGAAAGAAGCGACACTTTACTACTCTTTTTCCGTGTAAATACGATAACTTGTTAGTTTGGAAGAAGAAATTGTATATATATATGATCTTATAACAGGATTACATTTAAAATTTTTGATAACCGGAATCGGTACTTGTTTTCTGGGTTGTAAAATCCCTATAGTTTGAGTACCGTTTCATTTAGGTGAACGACACAGATAATATTTTCTTGATTCTGTCCTAAAGTGAGCGATTTCGGTGACAAGAATTAGTACTTTATGCTGTTTACGATTTCACAAAAACAAAGGGATCACTTCTACAGAACAGATTTCTTTCAACTTTTCATATAGAGATTAATAATCGAAATGTCGAACAAACTTGATACAAACAGAAAATCAGACTATTTTAAAATAATTTTATCTTTCTTTGATGTTTCGAATGCGATCCCAAAACGAACCTCAGATTAATAAATATATCCAAATTGAACAAGGGGAAAATGAAATCCGTAGTTACTTTGACTGTTCAAACAATTAAGGTTTATAAAGGTTTTCGAATTGTAAACATTGTTAGCCAGTGGGTTCGTATAAAAATCATATTGAAATTTATTGGCGCTTCCAGGGAAGGGCACTAAACAAAAACAACCATCATGTTAGGTATGCGCGCTTTTTTTTTTTAAATTAAGGAGTATATTTTTTGTATATAGTACAATGGTGCACGCCTTTTGACCAACATCACCTCTCATAGACCGACTAATGATTTCGGAAATTGGCCGGCCAGACTGGCTATGGGTGACAGCACCAGCGAATTAAGTGAGGGGGGGGGGGGGGGGGGAGCTGAGGGGACTGCAGCAGGGCCCCCCGATTTTTAGGGGCTCCCTAAAAAGTTACGGCTTAATTGTTGGTTTTCACTACAAAAACAAAAGTTTTAATGTTGGAGTCACAAACTTCAGTTTTTTTTTTCAAAATGTTTGAATCACAAATTTTATTTCCTTTTTTTCAAAATATCAAGCACGTGTACACACTTAAGTACAAATACCACCTATCAGCACCTCCTATCTAGACAATGTTTATTAAAACCGACGCTCCCTATTATAACATAGTCCGGACCAGTGTCGCTTAAAAGTGACTACTCGGAAAATGATAATTCGGCAGAAAATACGAAACTCAATAGTTCTGTGTAGAGTAAAGTATAGGAAAACGGTTAGGGTTAGGGTTCTGCTGTTTGTAAATACAAGCATGCGCAGTACCATCGAAACCATCGCTAGGAATGAAGGCGGTAGTTTCTCTACAATGCGCCTTCGTATCTTTTTTCGGCTAGAACCGGCTTTTGTTTTTTCCTTTTAAATTCACAATAACGAAAGTATGAAATTGTTTTGCCACATAAAAATATACGGTGTTCCCTCAGTCTGGCGTGAACACCCAAGCTCGACCGTGCAAACTGTTTGCTAGCTGTCATCTCTTCATGTCAAATAATGTTTATTTAACGTGAGCTTTCCCTAAAATAATGAATATGTTTTTGATTGATCTTGCTTAGCCTACAAAATACAGCAAGTAATTTCATTACCTAAGACTATGGTCTAGCTTACTTTGTCAGACCAGTAAATGTATAGTGGACTGATCACAAATACTAAAATAATATAAAGTGACATATCTATTATTATAATCGTGTGCCTTCCATTGGATCCAGAAAAGCAGCATATACACACTTAGTTTGTTGGATGTAAATTTGTAACTGGATAGACTAGGCCGCAGGTCAGTGACCGTGAAGATACGACAAAGGTTATTGGTTTAGGGTAATAGCGATCTTTAATCACTCGATGAAAATTGTGAAAATGAAGCTCGTCCCGTCATACCTCATTATATTCCCATTTTATTTAAGGCTCCTCTAAGATATTAAGTTAAGCTTTTATAATAAATCAAAGAAAAATGTGTTATATCATTGAAGATAAGGTTCTTTCTATTGTTTAACCTAATGTTAACTTTATAAACTCATTTAACTCTTGTACAGTAGTATTCATTTGCCTTACAGCAAGCTCCATTTTTATAAATATTTATTAGTTACATAAAAGTTGGGGGACGCATGGTCTAAATGTAGAGAGCTAGACTGCTAACCCGTAAGTCTCGTGTTCGAATCGGGTTAAAGTCACTAGAACTTTGGGAAAACGATGGCGGCTTGGCATAGTGCTGCTCACACTATCCCTTCGTATGCCGAGCTCACTGAACTCTACTTCATCTGCCCCATGTGTCTGTGGCAGGAACGAGAATAGATGATGATATATGAGTTACATTAGTTTGAGTCATATTTTTAGGCCGAATGAATGGGATCCTAATTTTCGGTTTGTCATAACCTATTTGTCAGGATTCTGTTAGTCTTGTATTTTTCTTGCTGTGCCGTTTTGTTGAATGTGTTTGTTTAAACACAATAAAAACGGCTTAAAACTCCCCCCAAAGGAACGTAGTATTTTTAAAATTTTAGTAATGACTTACCTCGAATACCATTTGGCTTTAGAGAATGGAGAAATTCCAACACTAACTGTGAACCAACTTTAGCCAGGCTCCTTTTTCCATGGAGCCAGCAATATTCCTTCAGAATAAAAACTTCAGTTGTATTTACTAATATTTTTTTCATTAATTACTTATTTTAATACAGGTAACTGACTATAGCTTAGCTATAAAATAAGAGATGATATTATAATTAAAAAGTGTCAAATATGTTGTATACTAAATATTTATATCACCTGTGCTTCAGTCCACTTCAGTTGTGTGCTGATTAGCTCATAGCAGTTGTTTTCAAATTCCTTAGCTGTTTGGCTGTTACACTTTGCTGGCGTTTAAGAATACAATAAATTGAGAGATCTAAATTGATATGTAATTGCAACATTAACAAAAAGTACATCTTTTACGGTTAATATTGTGTTCTTTTTAACAAAATGTCTCACAATTAGAATCTATTTAATAATTTCACTATTCCGCAATTTGGCCTGTTTATCTTTCTTCCAAAAACGTTTTGTAAGCCACTTCCGAACGACACAATGAGGTAATTTTAAGCTATTAAATCTTTGGATTTTCCAGGGTTTTTTCTTTCTTTCTTTCTTACTTTTTTTTGTTAACTCATCGTGGTGTGCTGAAAATGGTATTAATTTAAGTTCAAACACTGAAACAAAGATTCACGTTCCACTTTTAAATTTCTTATCAAATAACCTATTCGGGGCAGGTTAACCCCCCCCCCCCCCCAAATACATATTTAAGTCAGAAATGTTGATTTTTAAAAATCTATTGTTTCTGAAACTACATTCAATTCTGAACATTTTTATATAACTATTTTGCCATATTACGTATGGCTATTATTTTTTTACAATTTTTTAATTAATGAGAGTAATGACCTAATTCACCAATATTAAGCAACATTTAGCAACAGAAAAATTAAAAACTAACTAAAATAGATGTTCTTATTGCTGAGTAAGAGGCTCCAGATGCAAAGTATGTAACTGGGAGGTTTTAAAAATGACTTTTTCTGGCATAGTTTTCGCTTTTTTTTCGTTTTTTTCAAATTTAGTATATTTTTCACTATTGAGCGTTTTTCTCAAAATGTTACTTTTCACCAAAATCGTACCAGTTAAATCAATATAACTCAAAAACTAATTGAGATATTTAGCTGAAATTTTGCACACATGTTTCTTAAACATTGCTTGTAGAGTTGAACTAAAAGAATGTCTATATCTTTTAAATTTTACATTTTATTTAAAAAAGCTAAGTCTACTCCCTACTTTTTTGAAATTTTTTAGGTCTCACATTTAAAAAAATTGGCTAAATTCCATTTTTTATTATTTTCTAATTGTTTTAGTTTATCTTTTTTTTTAAATTGTGTATAGTACACTATGTTGAAGATTTGTGTTATTCTAACAAACAGAAGCTGTGGTATTGTGATTTCAATGAGAGCTAATTTTGAGCTATTTTACCCTAAAAATGACACTTTTTAGAAAATATTTTCGCAAAACTATAACTTTTTAGTGATTTTTTTGCATTTTTGTCATATACTATGTTTGTTACAACTTTCTTTTCACTCAAAAAAGTCCTAACACCTAAATTTCAATTTGGGGGTTTAACCTGCCCTTCATGGAATAATGTAGGCCTATACACTTCTTTTTTACATTCTCGTATATGAAGTATAGAGAAAGTATTATATTCCGTTAAAAAAAATCGAGATTTTTGCAAATGTCGACGTTTTACACCTCCCTGAGTCGGAAAAACATAGTGTTGCAATCTTGTCCGTATGTCTTTGTGTGTCTGTAAACACGATAACTTGAGTACCGTTACAGCTAGTTTGATGAAATTTCATATATACGTGTTATATCCAATTTGTAGTTCTGTTTCAACTTTTCAGCGACTTCCGGTAACCGGAATTGGAACGTATTCTACTTTCAATTTTTTGAAAAGCCTATAACATGAGTACTGTTTTAGATAGATAAATGAAATTTCATATATAAGTTAAAAAAATCTACTTTTCTTCTTTGTGTCAAACATTGAGTAATTTCCATTTACCGGAAGTAGTAATTTACCCTATTTCCGATTAAAAAAAACGCATGTGAATTTAAAAAGTACTAATAATATTCCGCACTATTTTGCACATTTTATATGACGTTCACGTGGTGCGCAATTCTTTTTTCTACGAGATTCTATTCTATTTTAAATAGTTCAAGTAATTAAAAATGGATTAAAAATGTTGTCTCTATCCCGAGGTGCCAATCCCCGTAGTGTTGTATAAGAATATTCGAGAAAGTTTAGGGGAAATCACTCTAGGTTTATTTAAAACAAATTGTTTTATAAAAAATGAATAACATTGAACTCTTACACGAACATTTATATTGGTACTAGCCGTCCCGGCCAGGCCCTGCACTGGCCTCTGTAAAAAAACCTATCTGTAAAGGACCATGACTTGTGTGTTTAGTAATCTGCATATACCCGGCATTGCCCACCCTAACCACAACAAATCAAAACTAAAACACAAAAACCGCAAACATTGTACAAACTTAAACACAAATACAAACGCAAACGAAAACACAAACACAAACGTAAACCCAAACCCAAACAAAACACAAATGCAAACGCAAACGCAAACGAAAAATCAAATGAAAACAAACCCAAATCCAAACGCAAACCCAATGACAAAGAAAACACAAACGCAAAAATAAACGGAAAGTGCTAACAGTCAAGCCCGGTGAGGCAAATCGCCGGCTGAACTGCCTGTTTCAGCTTAGTAATCAACAAAATACACCGACTTTTTCATAGTCTTTTGCACTCACTTAAACGAACGTAGGCGCCATAGCTAACACGCGAAGGTACGTGGCGCCAAATAACACCCTGTCGAGGCAATGTCATCTGATGGAAACTTTGAAGCTATAAAACTTAGACATAGCTCTTAAAAGAAATTGTTTTTCGATCTTGCTTTTACAGTCTAAATGTACTTTTAAATCGTCTGCTTTAAAAAAAGGTACGCTCTATGATGCCGTTAAAAAAGACGACATTTATCATGTTTGGTGCGACAGACTAAAACGAATTCCCCTTCATGCGCAAAAAAAGACACAGATAACAACCTGCGGGAATTCCCGTTCCGAATAAAGATGTCTTTTTTAACGCCAACTGTCTTTGATTAAAAATAATAATTAGTAAAAAGTACATTCAGATTATAAAATAAGTTAAAGGCAGTATTCAAAATACCTACTATATTTTACTTGATCAATCAACGCTAATTATGTCATTATTTTCCCCGAACCCCAAAACAAAGTAATAAAAGTAATCCCCCCCCCCCGATGTGAGGTTTTTTAAGGGCAATAATAGTGTTTTCCTACTTTATCAAGGGACGTAATGAGTACTAAAGAATTTTTAGACACTCTCCATGCCTCGTCAGACACCTCTACCGCCCCCTTCTGCCCAGAGTTTCTTCCAGGCATCTCTTCGCCCCCCCCCCCCCCCCGATAACGTCTACCGCCCCGCGAGCGAAATGAAATTTATATAGAAAATATACTCTTTTAACAGTGTCAGCCCCTCCCACAAAGAAAGTCTACTTCCCCTCCCCCCCCCCCCGAAAATTAAATTTCAAGTGCCCCCCCCCCCTCCCCGGAGAAAAAAGTCTGCCCACATCACCCACAGATATGATAACCCCACATCCCTTTTAACTGTTCCAACGACCTCACCACCCACCAAAACATCAGTTATCAGTTTCGAATATTTATTCATTTACTTATTTATCTTTTTTGTGTAATTCACTATTGTACAAATGTAAACGAAATCTGTGTAGAACAACAAATGTGTGTGTGTGTGTGACTACTCTACTGGTTATTCATTTTTCTTTGGTATTTACTATGTGAATGGTACAGAATTGGATGAAATCGATGCAAAAGATTGTTTTCCACTATTCTTCTATACGTCATACTCTTTAACCACGTTTGTTGGCAAAAATGTTCCAAACCAGCCTCTGTCCAATTTTTTAATCAACAAGCTTTAAATTCAATGTATCTTATGCATCCATTTACTTATTTCGCTATCTATTTACTACACTCTGTACATTAATGTAACTATCATGTAAATATCCACCCAAACGGCGTGGAATGCTACTGTATTTGTTTTAAATTGGAAAATAAAAGTATTAAAAAAAAAGTAACAATAAAAAAAATTCCAAGTTTTTATTTAAAGAGCCACTAACAAAAAAAATATCTATATATTAGATAGAAATCTTACCATTGAGGAGAGGGTATTTTTCTTCGGAGTTTACCTCCGGATTTGGGGTCTTACCTTTAAAGGTGTTTTATGTTAACAAGGATGTATTGATATAAAGGGAAAAAACAGGGTCTTAGTGACAGAAGCTTATTGAAGTGGAGTAGTGGGAATGGGCGGAGGCCCTTATCTTTACATTTTTGCTGAACTAAAACAAAAACATGTTTTTGTAAAAAAAAAAAATTGTTATTTACCTTGTGTACTGATCTTTTTTATTACAAAAACCAACAAGGTACACGTGTAAATCTTCATTGGGTTAATCCAAAACATGGCTTGAATACAAATTCGTTCAACCTACTCGGGTTAATAAGGTATTGTAGTATTAAAACTTAAAATGTATTTTAAAAATAAAGATGTGTGCTGGAAAAGTATTTGTAGGCCCTACTTACATAATTTTTAATAAAAATAAAAATAACAACTAACGAGTTTTCTTTAGTCTAATAACAAAAAGAACTGTTTAGTCTGGTGTGCTTATATAATATTGATTGTCTATTTGGAAGTTATATTATCCTACTACTTCAATTTTAATTGCCTGTGGAATAATTGAATTTGATGTTTTATCCTTTTATTTTAAATATATTACTATTATGATATTACATTTAAAAGCCAAGTGAAGTTGAGAAAAGGGTTAAACGAACGCAAGAAATAAACTCAAACGTTTTATTCATAACGACATTAAACATAATATAATACGAATACAATAAGAAATGTGTTTTTCTACCTGTTTTGTGATGCGATGTTCATTATTGTATCTGTTTTGTCTGTGCCACACGATTTTGCTGTGAGTTAATTTATACTTGAGTGTCCTTGACACGATACAGGATACGACATGCACGTCAGACCAAGTGAGCTGTTTAGACGGTGTGTCAAGTACAAGGTTAACGTCGAAGTGATAGGGAAAATTTGATATGCTCGTCCGCAGATGAGTTTCTTTTATACTCTATTCGAGAAAATATCAAATTACATTTCGAGCCTTCATGTTCATGAGACACGTGAAATAGGTTAACCTTTTTCAGTTTTATTTTTTTTTTTTTACATATGAAGAGATAGCATTGTCCATTTCTATAAAAGTTTTTTTTAAACGCTGTTTTTTAAAAGTACTTTCTTGCTTACAAGATAGTTTTGGCAAAAGAAAATCTTTGTCTATAGATAGTTACCTATTCAATTGTTTGTTATCAGTCTTTGTTACACCTCTGAGTTATGAAACAGGATATGAAATATTCTTAAGTGGCAGTGAGCTGTGTAGACGGTTTGTCTGGAAAGATATAGTCAATGTTTTGCTTCTTAGAAGTTGATGAGATATGGAGATAAACTATGCACGTCAAACATAAGGTCAAGAAACAAACCAGGATGCATAGAGATGATTTGCGAAGTGATATTGCAGGCCCACGAGCCTCTTATCTAAGTAGGTTGTTTTCAGAGGCGGAACTACCGAAGGGGAAGTGGGCTGTTTAGGGGACCCAATTCCAACTAAAATAAAACCAAACAAACCAATGACATATTTTTCATAAATAATGTTTTTCGTGCAACGTGATAGTGGTTTTGAAAAAAAAACAGGTTTACTATAGCAGTAATTGTTCTACAGTAACTAACACACTGTTGCGTAGAAAAACAAGAATATTTAAGGCCCGAAATTAGTTTGGACATATTTTCGTCTGGTTTATTGTCTAAGGATGGTTTTACTTTGTAACGAAACATGTTAAATTACTAAATAAGGAAAAAGATAAATTTAAATTTTAGTAACGCATGCTACTATATATATATATATATATATATATATATATATATATATATATATATATATATATAACGTAAGGAATTTCATTGATTATTAATTAAGATAAATGACAGAAACATTCAAATTATATTATTGTACTATAGTCTTAATCAATATTATCACTTGTTACAACAAGTTGAACTTTTATGGCATTTAGAATTACATAGTAGCTTGTTATTTTTACACTTGCAACGATTTGTTGTGCACTTGGTTGTGCTATTGCAGTGAGTATACCCTTGGCCGCCGGTCAGTGAATGTGTAGATGCGATGGTTCGTAGTGATTTTTTTCTCAGTACCAACGGACGAGCATACAGTTGTTTTAGAACACCATGTTCCGTTCCTAGCTTATAGAAAGCGCCCTCGACGCTCATGACAACTGCAATGACGCTTCGGAGATCACCGCGACCTCTGTCAACATCTGGTATACGGATGCGAAAATTATCTCCCACTTCACCTTGTTTAAATTTTGTAGATGATTATGTGAGCATCTTATCACCTTGAGTTTGCAAGCTAGTAATAGCTTCTGTCCTGTTGTCCTTGGTTTTTTGTTTATTGTGACATAATCTGCAAGTAATGTTAACTCCTTACCATTCGTCTGCTGCATTGGCTATTCCGCAAATTGCATGGACATCGTTGCCACAAGATCCAAAGAATGGGCTGCATTACAACATTTTTCACAAACTGCATATAATCTATTGGCCATATTATTGTCACGCAACTGGTCTGTTTCGCTACGGCAGCAGACGTTCTAGTTCAGGGGTCTCCAAACTTTTCAGTCCGAGGGCCGCATTAACTATAAAATTTCAGTTCGGGGCCAGGTTCTTTCAGGCATGTGTTTGATTTTTCTGGGGAAAGTTCCTCAGCCATCACCAAAAAAAAGTTTTTCTCTGTGGACAAAAATATCTCCGCGGGCCGGATGAGAGGACATCGCGGGCCGCATCCGGCCCGCGGGCCGTAGTTTGGAGACCCCTGTTCTAGTTGTTATTTCAAACTAAATCTAATAGTGAACATCGAACATATTTGGTAATTAGGTATACTTGGAAGTTCATTTGTTTCACACAGTAAATTTCAGAGATGTAAATTCAGATCTAGTTTTATAACAGATCCTTGTCATAGATTCTTTACCTAACTGAAAAGTTTGAAGCAAATCTGTCCAGTTGAAGAAATATTTTTTTGACCAAACAGAAATACCGTAAAGTACTACTTCCATTCACAGGAAATAAAAAGTTGAAATAATTCAAAATAAGATTATATATTATGTTCGAAATGAAACGGTACTTATGTTATCGGTATTTTAGAAACCGGAACTAGAATAAAATACCACTTGGGTTAAAAGAGATCACCGAAAAATAAAAGTATCCAAGTATAAGATCCTATAATTATATATGACATTACATCTATATAACCTCAACTATTCTGGTTTTACCCGCTTTTTTTAAATCTGATGTCTATGTTTATCGAAAAAAAGCGGGTTGATTTTCGTACATTACTCCTTGACTTTAGATATGTTTTTACAAGATTTTACTTAGTTACAAAATAATCATAGAGAAAATTATCGAAGAAGTTTGAACGAAATCGCCGCATTAGAAATGGGTCACAAATTCACAAACATACAATTTGAACTAAGTAAAAGTTTTTAAAAATATATTATGTATGTAGAAAATCATTAAGTGTTCGCCTTTCTAAAAAAATTTAGAGAAGTGCGTCCTCTGAACTCAAAACTTTTACCGCTTCCTCCCATTCCCTATAGAAAAGTTTTTGAAAGAAATCATGGATGAAACATGCTGCACTTTTTCTTTTTTTAAATTGTTCATACAACTTCTATGAAAAAGAAAGTATTGAATTGCTATTGAAAGTGCAAGAGCAAGGATAAGGGTAAGGGTAAGGGTAAGGGTAAGGGTAAGGGTAAGGGTAAGGGTAAGGGTAAGGGTAAGGGTAAGGGTAAGGGTAAGGGTAAGGGTAAGGGTAAGGGTAAGGGTAAGGGTAAGGGTAAGGGTAAGGGTAAGGGAAAGGGTAAGGGTAAGGGTAAGGGTAAGGGTAAGGGTAAGGGTAAGGGTAAGGGTAAGGGTAAGGGTAAGGGTAAGGGTAAGGGTAAGGGTAAGGGTAAAGGTAAGGGTAAGGGTAAGGGTAAGGGTAAGGGTAAAGGTAAGGGTAAGGGTGAGGGTGAGGGTGAGGGTGAGGGTGAGGGTGAGGGTGAGGGTGAGGGTGAGGGTGAGGGTGAGGGTAAGGGTAAGGGTAAGGGTAAGGGTAAGGGTAAGGGTAAGGGTAAAGGTAAAGGTAATGTTTGGGGACATGTAAATTAAAACAATGACCTAAAATGTGCGCGTTGCAGTGCTCTTTAAATATCCCCATAAATCACTTTGTAAATTAAGAAACATATCCACCTTCACATTTAAATTTAGACAGGGCTATAAATGGCTGGAGCAAAGCCTAGCCGATAACGTCTAGTTTAATATAAATATAAATAATAAACACACATAACAATATATATATATATATATATCTATATATATCTATATATATATATATATATATATATATATATATATATATATATATATATGTATATATATATATATATCTATATATATATATATATGTATATATATATATATATATATATATATCTATATATATATATATATATATATATATATATATATATATATATGTATATATATATATATATATATATATATATATATATATATATATATATATATATATATATATATATATATATATATATATATATATATATATATATATATTTGTGTTTCCGTTTGTGTTAAGTTTGCGGTTTTTTGTGTTTTGGTTTTCGCTTTGGTTGATTGTGGTTAGGGTTAATTCGAAAAGAAATATATTTTTTAAACCCGGGAACGCGGGTATATGCTGATTACTAAATACACATGTCATGGTCCTATCCAGATAGGTTTTTCACAGAGGCCAGTGTAGGGCCTGGCCAGGACGGCTAGTAGATAATATAGTGACCCACGCTTTTATTTATAGTTGTTAAACTACTATTGATTTTCTTTAAATAAAGATAATAAAGATAAAAAACAACAATTTGATTATTATATATTTAAAGAAAATCCTTTTTTTATCCTTTTATTTATTTTATCCACTCTGATCACATAACGTTTTAGAAGATCTCTTTTATTTAGATAACTCGATATTTTCATATCGCTTTGTCCAGCAGGAAGCCAGAGAAAGTGTTGATCACGTGATGCTCCTCTCCGTACAGAATACCACAGTTGGAAGCTTCAACAAAGACCTCATCACCAGACTCCAAAAGCAACACTGCGGAGTTGGCTGATAAGAAAACCGTTTTATGAAATTATTTTTTGCATTCTAGATATTTACAAATGATGTACTTTAAAATATAAAATTATAAAAAACAAATTTCGTTATATATTCTAGATTAAAGCCAAATTTACTGCTATTTTTTTTCAAATCGCGTAACGTATTGCATGGCTATTGTTAACACGCTTCACTAAATCAAGGGTAGGATCTAGGTGATGGGGTTGGAGGATTCAGATTCGATTTACAATAAATAAACGTCGACCTACCAGCGAGGGACAACTCTTGATTTGTACTGCTGTACAGCGAGATAACTCTTGTTTTGTTTTTAACAAGAGACAGACTCAGGTCTTTCCCTTCGCCAGCAGCGCCGTGAATTTGGAAGAAGTATAACCCTGCCTGTAAAGAAATTTTATTGTATGATATGAAGCTACGGTTGGGGATGAACGTGCTAGATTCATACAAATTAAAACCACAACAGTTGTTTAAAAAATAGAGGTATTTAATTGTATTTCTTCCACTTACGATATCAACCTCGGAATATTTACGACCTTCTTCTTGCATCGTCAGCATTTGACACTGATTTTTTGTATTAAAAGTATACTATTTCCTTGCTATTGCAAACCAGCTGATGTTTTATAATCTAATCTACGAGTTTATCTAAGTAATTTTAAATTTGTCAGTTAAAATATCATTGAAATAAAGTTCATATTAATTCCCCACTTACAATGTTGCATCTGAAAACACCAGTACTGTTTTCATAGTCGTCTCCAATATTAGATACAACTTTGTTATAGACAATGACATCATGCAGCAGAACATCAAGCGGGTTTGATAACCCGACTGTGAATGCGACCAATGTAGGTTGTATGAATTTGACATTAGATTCCCGTGCGTCTAGCACGATAGGTTGTGGTGATGTCGAGTCTGCGAACGTGAAAATAATTCAATGAAGACATGATAGCTAATAACAAACTTGTTAAGTAATGAAATGTAATCTTAAGATAAATATTACAAACAGCTAAAAACATTTAATGATGGCGTAGCGACACATTAATATATTATTTCATTTTAATAGTTACAACAAAACAAAGCTGTGATTTTCATGTATATCAAATACTGAGTCAGATTTACCCAGTATGTAGTTAGAAGACGTTTCAGCTTTTGTTACGTTGTCTTCTATAATGACTTCAGTTCCTGATGCCGATGGTGTCGATGTGGCAGTTGTTGATGGAGTCGTTTTAGTTGTTGATTGGGTCGTTTTAATTGTTGATGGGATCATTTTAGTAGTTGATGGGTTCATTTCAAGTATCTCTGTTGTATCTGTAAAAGAGAAATTCAACCTGTATAATTACTGGTTAAATTTGACTGTCCGTAGCAAAAAGAAACAAAGAAATATGAAACACTTAATAAGTCAGGAGAGTTATGGGAAATGGACACAAATAAAACGATTTTCCAGATTGAAACATTTGGTGTTTTTCCTTTTTTTTTACTTTCTCGTATATACATTTTAATAACATAATAACAGTAGGGTAGAAAAATCAAATTAATTTAATTTTTTTTTCTTCTAATTTTGACAAGGGAGGTAATTTAAAAAATAAATTAAACTCACGCTAATAAATAAACCGGGAGTGATCTCCCCTAAACTTTCTCGAATATTCTTATATAAAACAACAGGGGATGGGAACTCGGGCTATAGACATGATTTTTAATCCATTTTAAATACTTAAAGTTTTAAAAATAGAAATCTTGTAGACAAAAGAATTGCACACCAAGTGAACGTCAAATAAAAAAGTGCATAATAGTGCGCAATACTATTAGTACTTAAAAAATTTACATTCGTTTTTTGAGAAATCGGAAGTAGCGTAAATTAGTACTTCCGGTCAATGGAAATTACTCAAAATTTAATAGAAGGTAGAGAATTAGATCTTTTACTTACATTTGAAATTTCGTTTATCTATCTGTAACAGTACTCAAGTTATAGGCTTTTGAAAAATTCAAAGTAGAAAAAGTACCACTTCCGGTTATCGGAAATTGCTCAAAAGTTGATACGGTTCTACGATTTTAATAAAATACTTATATATGAAATTTCATCAACCTAGCTGTAACGGTACTCAAGTTATCGTGTTTACACACGGACAGACAGACAGACAGACAGACAGACAGACAGACAGACACACAGACATACGGACGGAATTGCAAAGCCCAGTTTTTTAGACTGGATTACGTATAAAACCTCTTAATTTTGATACATCTGGATTGATAATTTTTGCCCGATTAAAATAAGTCCTCTATACTTCGGATGTGATGAAGGACTGAGGTGTAATACGGTGAAAATTGTTACAATTTCAAGTGATTTTTGTGCACGATTACAATACTTTCTCTATACTTCGTATATACGAGAAAGTAAAAAAATGTGAATGCAAATCTACGGGCGTCCTAGAAGGAATCAGTGTTGCAATAATATAATTAGCAAAATGTGAATGCAAATTGTGCGGATGTGGAAGAGGAAATTATTGTTAGAAAATTATAATTAGCATGGATTGATAAAAGGCAATCTTTTATTTATTTTATTCACTGAATGTACTGTTTACTACTTCTAATTTTTAATCAACATTTCCTCACTATTATAGACGCGTCATCACGTTCATTGGGTGTGCAAAGGTTTTAGTTATGAAACCTTATTGTAAATTTTTAAAATTTAAAGTACTGGAAAAAATAAATAAATGCGTGAATTGATAAAGTGATATACGGTAGGTAAAACACGGATATTTTAAATATTGCCTATTATTTATTGTATATTATTTATCTTTCGGTTTGCGGACAAGCTGGGTGATTTATAGGAGAGGCGTAGCGAGGGGGTGGGGGTGGGGCATATGTCCTCGGGTGCCGACCTTAGGGGGCGTCAAAGTGGGTTGGAGAAAATTTGCGAGGGGGGGGGGGGTGTAAATCAAAAGTTTTAGTGCGGGGGAGGGGGGTGTGCAAATCGAAAGTTTGAGGGGGGTGCAAATCAAAAGTTTGAGCGGGGGGGGGGGAGGAAGAAATTTCAAATCAAAAGTGGTGCAAATCGAAAGTCTGAGGTGGGTGCAAATCGAAAGTTTAAGGGGGTGGGGTGGAAATTGAAATTTTGATGGGACGGGGTGCAAATCGTAAGTTTGAGGGGGGTCAAATCGAAAGTTTGTCCCCGGGCGCCGGAAAGGGTCGCTACGCCTCTGTTTTATTGTGATTCACTGTGTCAGACGCGTCCGCTAGCGCTCGGAAATGGCGAGATTTGGCGCTACAGGCTAGACTGTGAGCAATATGCCTTTATGATTGCATATAAGATGTGTTTTGTTATGAGTGTTGTGTTAGTTTTTTCGTTTGTGTGTTTTTTTGCGTTCGTTTGTGTTGTGTTTAGTTTTGTTCTGTTCCCAGGTTGGTACATTTAAAAAAGATTTACCGTGGCGGTGCACGGGATGCAGCTAGTCTATTATGGCAGGATAGCGCAGAGAGTTGGTGTGACCACATCAATGTTTTTTTTAAATTTAAGCTAAATATTCTTCATCATTAAAAATACCTACTATTATCATGGGCAGTATATTAGGAGTTCACTAAAAATTTGCAACCAGCAGCTCGACTAATTATTAATCTGCCAATGTAAGGACAACGCCATAATCTAAATTAAACTAATCTTGATACTGTATAATGAAGAACATAGTATTTTTTATGGAGAAAGCTAGTAAAACATTTTTTTTCAAACTTACCACAATTTAACTCATCTGATCCATCTTCACAATCTGGGTATGAATCACAGAGGGAACCGTTGACCACACAGGCACCATTCTGACATTTAAACTCCCCAGGTTTGCAAGCTGTAAAAAAATTATATTAAATGTAAAAAAAACTAGTATATGTATAATTGTGTAAATAAATTAAGAATAGTCATCTAAAAACTGACGCTATGTTCACTCTGAGTCCCCCCCCCCCCCCCCACCTCACCACCTATAATGGGACAGGCCTTAATTGTGTAGAGTGACATTGATGTCACACCTAGGTATACGCTGAGTAGGATAATTGACCTAAAGTGGCTGGGCAGTGGTGAATGAAGTTTATGTAAATGTATATACGCCACTGACACAGACACACCAATATCCAGACAAAATTTGAAAGCCAAATTTTCCCGACTCATGGGGGTGTTAAAGTTTGAGATTTGACAAAATTTCTATTTCGATTATTTGCACTATTACAACGCGTTCTCTATGCTTTGTATACAAGGAAGTAAAAACTTTTAAAAAAGCGTGGGTCAATAATTAAAATTAGTATTTTAGTATAGTTATTCAATACTTAATATAATGACCCACGCTTTTCCATTTAGTTATTTTAAATAATTGCCCATTGTTATATATTTAAAGAAAATGTTTTCTCCCTTTTAGGTCATAATTAATAATTACATTAAAATGTGTTATTAAAATGTTTTTTCTTATATGGAAACCGTTGCTTGCTGGAAAAAGGTAAATACGCTGTTTTGAAAGGTCTTATTTTTTATGTCACTAGATTCATATTGTTTTTTTTTTTTAAATTAATTACTGAAAAACCTGCCAACATTATATTTGATTAATATACAATTCTTTATATACAAAATGTGAAAACCAAAATGTAACTGGCCAATAAACGAAGCAGGCATTACAGTAATTTAAAAAATAATGCATAATTAGTTATTGTAATTAATGTTTTAGATCGCCCTTGCATGAGGTGATAAGCAGATTAGAAAAACTCTAAATATGATTTAAAAGATGGAAATAGTTTTAAAATTGCTTTTTATAAACAGTACAGTTGTTATCCTTTCTTACCACTGAGACATGGCTGGTAACAAAAGCATCTGTCACAACACATTTGTTGAATATAAACAGAATATAAACAGAAAGTAGCGAGATGTCAAAGAAATTAAATCGTCAGAAATACATTTGATAGATTATTTCACAACTGCAATGATGAATTATATAGAGATTATCGATCTACATCTAATATTTAGTCCATTTGATTAGAAAATATGGCTTAATTAGTTATCAAACTTCATAACAGGTTTTATATGAGTTGAAAAAAACAACAACTAACCAGTTAGTTCGCAACCGAGTTCATCACTTCCATCAACACAGTCCTCACGGCCATCACAGACAGAAATCATACTGATACAGTTCGGCCCGAATGAAGCTGGTGAACAGTTAAACTCATACAGATCACATCTTTTATAGCCGCAAAAGATCTCATCCGAACCATCAGTACAGTCGTTGGTTCCATCACAAATGAACATCCTGCTAATGCATTCTTTATTCTTGCACATAAATCTACCCTCGAGACACGATTCAATATCTAAAAGAGAAGGACAAATAATTATACCGATCTCACAAAGTAGTGAATTTTTTTTCTGGTTCCATGACAAATGAACTCAGGACAAATAATTATACCGATCTCACAAAGTAGTGAATTTTCTTACCATCTCTTTTGTTATCATACACATCAAGTGACATGCTAATGTCAAATCATGAATATTTGTTCACGTAACTAATTAGAAATTATTAGCAGACTTTTAATTTGCAAATAAGAAAAATAATCATGGCGGGCTTGTCCGCACTACAAGGGCCTATGGGCTACATTTTATAAGAAAATATAACATCCTTTTTTGTACTAGAAAAAAAGTCATTAAACGTTTTAGTAACAAGCTTGTATATAGCCTACATATGAACTAAAATGAAGAAAATAAATGAGTTTCTTTACGTACGTAATAACCAACCACCTTTTAAATGAAAAGCGTGTGTCGTTAATTAAATTTTAGCATTTCAGTTAAGGTATTAAAACATAATTTAGCGAACTACCCATTTCATATTAGTAATTTAAACATTGTTTCCTTATTATATCTTTGACTACATTTTGCACGCTATAGTAATAAAGAACTCGAAACTCTCAAATACACTAATCGTGATACTATAATAATTAAAATAGGCTAAAATGTAAACAAAAAATTGGCTCAGTGGGTAACCTAATTAATTATAAAGCATAACAGGAAGTAAAATAGGAGAGGAACATAATAAAATATAATAAAATGATAAAAACACTTTTTATTAGAATTGTGAACAATAAGGCTACATTGGAAAATATTTTACAAACACACACTTTAATAGGACTTCCCATAAACCGGTCTTGGTAAGGCATAATTTAATTTAGTGTGCAAGCATAATCAGATTACTAACAAATGCAATCTCAGTCGATCGGCATATATCAAATAATCAAAACCAACAAGATACAACATGGCAAGTATGCTGAGTTAAATAAACAATTGTAACTTATAAAATTTATACCCTTTCGCTCAAATTGCCATAACAAACATACGCGTGACCTTACAGTACAAAACTTTAGTGACCAGGAAATTCAACTCAATAAAACTCTTGTTACTGAAAATCTCGACCAGGTTTACTTTCCAACAACAACAAATGGACAACATAGAGCAGTTTTATGCAGTAAACAGAATTAATATTTTCAGGGTAATGACTAAAATATTCGCAATGACTCTAAATATACACAACTTTAATACTACACCCAAACAAAGTAGCCCTTAACAGATGAAAACGCCAAATAAAAAACAAAACAAGACTTAGAGCATCGCAAAACAAAATAAATATAAACGTTCATAAATCATGAAATGATAAAATTAAAAGTAATAAAGTAGTTTGTCTCATAATACTATGCACTATTTCTTGCACAAAAAAAAACAAACTTTAATTGTATATTGAAGCTACATTTCAAATAACCGCAAAACAGAAATAAAACAAATAAAGCATCGACTAACATACTTCTGGGGGTAGTCTATGAAGGGTATGAGTATGGGTGATGAGCAGAAGCTAATTTTGGATGTACGTCTTTGCTAAATTAATCGAGCTTTTTATTGTTGGAAAAAAATACTGGTCTATGAGATACTTACCGCGTGAAAAGACAACTTGTGCGACAGAAATGAACAAGATATATGTAAACATCTTCATTTGGTCGATGCACAGCATTATGGCTTGAATAAAATCTTTGAAAAAAAACGGTGAGGTTTAAGTAGATCTTTTGAAAACAATAATTTGAAACTCATAAAGCTCGTGAATTTATACTTAAGTGTCCAGCTGACAATACAGGATACAACTCGCTCGTGAGATAAAGCTTGCCATTTAGATCGTTTTGTCGAACAGGATAAGATCTACACCTTGTTTCCTAGAAGTCAATGTGATTATAACAAAAATGCACATCCGCTTAGACTACTTAGAGACGCGCAACGCTCACACCCAGACCCTTATCAAGCGGATTCAGTGTCGAATATCATTTTTCTCGTACACAATCCGCTTATCTGACTTGTGAGTTTTCACTTTTCTAAAACGGCTGATTAAGATCTCCTCTAATCTTTCTCGTATAATACATTTTTAGTTTCCCGTAAACAGAGTACAGAAGATGTATTGTAATCGTGCAAATAATCGAAATTGGAATTTTCACAAATCTTGACGCTTTACATCACCACGAGACGTAAAAAAATAGTTTTGCAAATATTGTCGGTATAAGTGTGTATGTGTGTGTGTCTGTATGTGTATTATGAATAAGATAACTTGAGTACTGTTTAGGTTATGTTTACAAAATTTCATACATAAGTATTAAATTGAATTATACGTTTAATTTTTTACAACGTATTCACAAGTTCCTAACGACGTTTAAGCGATTATTAGTTAACGGAAGTACTGTTTCAGTTAGATACAAAATTTCATATATTAATTTAAGATCTTTTACTTAGAATATTTTAATTTTTTATTTAATTTCGAAAACAGGAAGTGGTACTTTATTAGGTTCTGTTTTCTAAAACACCTATAATTTGTGTAACATTACGGTCTTGCGGTTGTAAAGTTGAGAACATTTTTATTAAGGTAAAATATATAATAGTTATGGGATCTTATTCTTTTGATACTGTAAAATTTGGAGTGATATTTCGGTGATTTTTAGGTAGTTATTTACGCTATTTCTGACCGATTCAAAAAAGGAAATCTCTTTTACGGTACCGATGTCTTGGTATGGTGAAAATTGTTTAAAATCAATGCTAAATTTAACAGTACTTCACCATAAAAAAAACTTTCAAAATTTGAAAATAAATATTTCTAGATGTTTTTCTGTTATAAACGCTAGAGAGCTGACTCTATTGGTGTTAGTAAAAGATGGATCAATGATTATATGACCGATATATCTTAGATTATGAAATTTTAGAAGTCAAAAAAGTTTTTTTTCTTCTTCAAGATAGCCGCCGTTGCCATGACAACCATAATTTTAGAAGATTCTCTGATACATGCAAACATTTTCACTAAAGTATCTTAACTTTTACACACACAAATAAATAAAAAAGGATTATTATTTAAGATTTTTTTTCTCCACGTTTTAAACGGAGCGTACCTCCTTCAAATGTTTCAGGCGAATAGAGAATCGAATATAATTCTCTGTGTCATAAAATGTGACTTGATTAGATGTTTAATTGACTTTTTAATAAATTAATGAAATGTTTCCTTTATAAAGTTTTATTTTTTCGCGTCATTATTAATATGCGCTCATTTGGTGTGCACTTAATATCAAAAAATTAAAATTATTTCTATATCCCAATTCTACTGGAAATTGCTATATTAAAATGTTTCAGGCGAATGCAGAATTGATTACTATGCACTGTGACATAAAATTCGTCTTGATTATATGTTTAATTGACTTTTTGAAAAATGAATCAAATGTTTTCTTTATAAAGTTCTAACTTTTAGTGCTATTTTATGCGCTCATTTGGTGCTTACTTTTTATACATCAAAAAATAAAAATC